CCCCCGAACGTTCGCAGTTTCATTCAGCGTCGTGGACGGGCGCGCAAGATCAGACCGACCGAAATCTGAGCTCATCGTTCTGGTTGAGGCCTCGAACTTCGCCGTGACCAAAGCTAACGAGAGTTTGAGAGAGTATCAGCGGCAGGAAGCTCAGATGGCCACTTTGGCCGACTGCTGGGAAGACGGCATTGATTCAGCTGATGACGATTCAGACAGCGAAATCCAACCCAGAGTCGTTATCGGTCGAGAAGGTGTGCGGATTTCCTGTCGTCATGCCAAGGGTACTTTGCATGAGTTTGCATCTTCCCTCACGGCTACTGATGAGTTCTTCACCCCCACTCCGATATTCTTCGGCGAGAAGAGGGATGAGAGCTTCCGTGCTACAGTCATATTGCCATCATCTGTTCGTCCACCAATAGCCAGATGGGCGATGAGCCGTTGGCATGCTACCAAGGGCAGGGCTATTCGAGAGGCCAGCGCCAGACAGTTGGAGAAGCTGGCGGTGCTACCGTGGGTGACACCTCAGTTCAAAAACATGTATGCTGTTGGCAAGGCCGATGGCGTTAACGAGGACCTGCTTCCCCCGGGTGACCTTCTCGACTTGGCCGCCCACCAGTTGACTGAACGAAGAGGGGATGTGGCGCCAGCGTTGGTGAAACCTACCGATGATAACTCGGTTATGTATGCCTATCAATTGAGGGTTCAGTGGCACAACGCTGGGATGGAGATCCCTGAGCGCCTTGGTAACTGGAGAGAGTTGACGCGGAAGCGGGTGGCTGCTATCGAGAAACTCCGCATCTTGACTCCGGAGCCTCTGGTGGGAAGAGTGATCGAGGCTGTGAAAGAAATACCAATTTCGGCCAGCGGCTTGGGGAGGTCAGACTCGAGACTTGGCACGGTGAAGGTTACACTTACCCCAGAAGGAGCTGTCAATGTCACTGGAGACTTTATGAACACTATATGGGCATTCCATCGACAGGTTTTCGCCAAGGTGGATGGGGGTGCTGTCGTCGATAGTTGGTCACAGTGTCAGGCCGATCGCCCCTTCTATATAGTTTCTGCTAGCACCGGGGATATGGTGGAGATGGCTCGAATCCTGGATGCCTTCCAGGACGACCCTCGCCTACTTGTTGAGATTGGCCTGACTGTATCAGAATTGGCGAGAGTCGAAGCTTCCCCACTCAGCCGAACTCTTGCTGCCGTACCACTCCATCTGCTATTCGAAGCCCTTACCCCGAAGCAATGCGAGATGATGATCGATTCTGAAAAGCACGAACCTCTGGGATGTGCCCTGCTGGAAATACTGGCCTCCGAGTATGTATGGGCTGACCAGTTCGATGAAGGAGAGGCGGCTCTCGAGGGCAAGTTGACTGAGGAACGCCAGGCGTACGTCCTTAGAGAGCGCGTCGCCTATCGAGGTTTGATGTCCACGGTGTGCTCAGCTATGCAATGGCGTGACCAGCAGTCGTCTCCGCTGCCTGGCTATCAAGTCGCTGACGGCTCTGCTCAGCCTGTCTTGGAAGGGGCCGCGAGAGACAGGGCCACGGCGTTCTTGAATGCGTTGAGGACATCAACCACCTCTCTCGTTGGTGTAGTCTTTGGTGAGGCTGGCTGGAGGGCTGGAATTGCTCTCCTCCGCCGTCTAGAGCTTATACCCGAGGACGAAGTTGGCGAGCTTGTTCCACACTCAGCTGTTGGTGGACGGGCCGAGGTGGACGCGATGGGGTTGCCCCAGGACATACCGCCCATGGTCCGAGACTATCTGCTGCGCCCTCCCGTGACCTACGACACTCTATTGATTGCAAATGGCCTCAACGTGCCTCCTATTGGTGGATATGAGTTCAGGCGTCATCCTTGGTTACTCATGGAGGCCTTCACACATGCCAGTGTTGCTGCTGTGAGTCCATCTTACTCGAATGAGCGTCTCGAGTGGATCGGTGATGCCGTCCTCGGGGCGGTGGTGTGGTCCAAGCTGTATGAAGAAGGAAGAGCTACGCTCAGTTCCTTCATCGACTATACCTGCAACTTCCACTTGGCGAGGGTTGCCGTTCTCAAGTTGGGAGCGCAGAATCGTATCAACGTACTCTCAGTCGCGTTGCAAAGTGCCATCGGCCGTTACGTCAGAGAGCTCCACCACGACGAGCAACCTGTTCCCAAGGGGCCCAAGGCCCTGGCCGACTGTGTTGAGGCTATCATTGGCGCCATCTGGTTGGATGCGGGTGGTTCAACTGGTGAGGGCTGGGATGCGGCCGCAAGGTTCATCAGAGATAACGTCTTCTCCCTTGAGCTTGCCGAGAGGAGGCCAGCGCCGCGGGGGGGTCCAGGTGATGACGGACCGCCTGAGGGGAGGAGGAGGAGAAGGGCCCGTCGGAGGCGTATACCTGGTCTACAAGCTGATGACTCCGGTGGGCAGACGCCGAGTACCTCAAGTAGCACTCCTGCCCGAACTAGAGCCCACTTGAATCGCAATGATCAGGCTGTGTTCGTTAGAGATCTTGTGGCCAGGCTAGGGAACGTCGAAGAGTTACTGAGACAACTGCCGGGTTCTTGAAGGTGTACGAGACTGATTTTTTGTCAAGTCCATATATGGTGTCGGCCAATATAAGTGCTGATAGTCTGTGGCTTGTGGTTGGTTTTATACGACTGTAATGCTACCCTGAGTTCATCCGCAATGTGTACCCAAACTGTTATTACGCTGGTAGTAAGAAATTTTCACCCTAGTTGGTGGTTTTGCGTTGGAGAAGTGTTTAACATGACGGAGCAACGGAGAATAATATCGCGAACATACATCGGCTTCACTATCGTAGGGTTGCTGGGTCGTTTGCGAGAGATGGATGGATGCTCGTAGGGTTGACGTTATTATATGAAACTACGGGAATATCAGGCTGAAGTCCTAGACAAGATCAGGCAGCATAGGTCCACGGTTGCCTTCATGCCGACAGGCTCTGGCAAGACGCTCGTGGCTGTGCGGCTACTGCACGAGCGTGTTGAGGTGCAGCGACGGCGCCAGGAAGAGGGCGAGTTAAAGAAGGCTTGCATTTTCACTGCTCCGAACAAGGTCTTGTGCCACCAACAAGCCAAGTACATTGAGAAGCATCTTGGGCACGCGGATGCCAAGGTCATTATCCTCACCGGTGAAATGAAGGACACGGTCAGCTGGGAGGAGGAGGAATGGGCTAAGACTCTGCGTGAGTCGTCTGTTCTGGTATGTGTCCCAGAGGTCCTTCGTCGAGCATTGGAGTCAGGCTATGTCAAAGCCGACTCGATAGACACTATAATATTCGACGAATGTCATCATTGTGTATCGAAGAACGGCGCGAACAGCGGCCATGCCTATTGTCATCTGGCTCAGCTCGCGAAGGGTGCGGAGAGGTTCGTGGGGTTGACTGCTAGCCCTCTCAACTGCAAACGGGTGGATGTGGATGAAAACCTAAAGCAGTTGAGGAAAGTCCTGGCCCTCGGTGGCGAGTGTGAGGTGGTTCGGCCTACAGTGAATGCGGAGGAGCTGAGCCGGTGGGTGCGCACGCCCGAGCTCGAGTTCAAGTACTTCACCTCTTCCACGTACGCACCAAGCTGTCTTAGATTTGTCCAGAGATGTGATGCTGATTGTGATGAAGTCCACAAGTGGATGTGCAGTGCCTACCATAGAGTGTCCTGGTTGGAGGAATTCTATTCTCTACGGCGGTCTATGCGGACTCTGGGCCAGGATGCTGCAGACTTCGGCATGCCTCCGATAACGACGCAGCTCAGCAGTCGTGACCTTCCTCTGCATATCTTATCTCGTTACTGTGAGATGATGGGTCAAATGGGGCGGATCCTCCATGAGGTAGGTAGGGCCTGGTGAGCGTGTGTAGTTTCGTACTTCGGAGCTTGTGTTTTTCGCAGCCCGAGATGGAAGCCGCAAGTTCGAATCCCACGAAAGTTATTTTTTAATGCAATTATTTATTTTGTGGTTTTTCGTGCAGCAAGTGATAAATTGCTCGAGTACGTGGCGTTCCATTCCTTTTGCAAAAGCTCCAGATTCAGAGCTTGCGAATGATAATCTATTGATTTTCATGTCTGTTCTGGATCGACCTGGACAATCGAATACGTACGCACGCACTGAGTTATCGCGAAGCGAGAGAACACGCTCAGCGTGCCGCGATTGATGATAGAATGTGTCTTTGCAGTGCGGTACGAGAACTGCTGCTCATGCATTGGCTCACATATGTCGATCTGACACAGACGACATCGATGCCCACGCGGTCCCGGAGGCATATAATAAGCCCAAGTCCAGCATCAACATCGATAATTTGCGCGTAGGGGTCACAAGCCGATTTGAATCCTCCACTGATGCTTCCATTTTCAGCGTCGTGTGAGTCGTCTTGAGGAATTCTGCAAAGTGAATACTGATATCGAGCTCTTCAACGAGCCCGTAGCCAACGCAGTGCGGACATCCCTCTTCGAAATGTGTATGGCTATTTGTGTTGGCGCCGACCTCCAGGGCTTCCTACAAGATCATGCTCCTACGTACAAATCCCTGGAAGATCTCAAACGGTGGATTCGAGAGGCATTGGTCCCGAGGCTCCTCGAAGTAGGTGGAGACGCTGACAAGCTGTTCAAAATGGGGGAATTGCTATACGTGGGAGGCGATAGTGAGCTACCGGACTACAACGCGGCTATCATCTTCGTAAACCAACGGCTCTTGGCTCGAGCCATTGCTGCCTCTCTGGACTGCTTCTACTGCGTTGGTGGTCGCTATGAGAGCGCCTCTACACAAGCCGAAGCTATTGAGCGTTTCAAAGAGACGGCCAAGAGAGATGATAAGGATGCAATACTGATTGCGACGTCCGTTTGTGACGAAGGTGTTGATGTTCCGGTCTGTGATCGTGTCATCCTATGGGACATGCCGCCGAATGTCCGATGCTACATACAGCGTCGTGGACGTGCGCGGTCTCTCGAACCACCGTCGAAGTTCTTCTTGATGGTCGGTGATCAAGAGGAGGAGAAGGGTTGTGCCAAAGCAGCTCTTACTGACTTCCAGAACAAGGAGGAGCAGATGGCTCGACTGGTGGACTTTTGGATTCAATGCGGGACCGATGATGATGAGGAGTCTGAAGATGCTGGAATCGTCCCAGCAGTTGTGATCGGCCGAGATGGGGTCCGCATCACATGCCGTCGTGCCAAGGAAGTGCTGTTCACGTTTTGTTCAACCCTGCGTGCCACCGACGAGTTTTTCTCACCAGAGCCATGGATCTATACCGAGTCTGATGAAGACTCCGGACGGTATAGGACAGTGGTCGTCTTGCCTTCCTCCGTGAACCCCCCAGCGGCTCGCTGGGCCATGAGCGAATGGCAGCCGTCAGAGGCCAAGGCGGTGCGGGAAGCCTGCGCCCGTCAGCTTGTGAAGCTAGATCGTCTTCCTTGGGTCACGCCACAGTTTCGGAACGGGTACAGATCAAAACCGAGAGGATCGGCTGACGAGGACGACGACAACTCTGTTTCACAAGAACTATTGGAGCAAACCCGTCGATCCCTCTCGACTCTCCCTATACTATCCTCGCCGGTCTTCAAGAAGCCTGTGAAAAGTGTGGGGAGGATGTTCGCCTACTCCCTCACAGCCAGCTGGGACGGTGACTCTATCAGTATGCAGTCACAGCAGCAGGTCCGGTATGCGAGATCTCGGCAACAAATCTCAGCTGTGAACAAGTTGATGCTGCTGACACCGGGGCCTATCGACTCTGTCGTTCCCCATGCGGTTGGCCACATCCCCTTATCGGCTACAGGGATGGGACGGGCCAACACCAGTATGGGGAATGTGCTGATATCGCTGCGCCCTTCTGAGCATCACGGCAACCCTTCAGCAGCAATGGGAGTCGACGCATCGTTGATGGGCTCTCTGTGGGGCTTTCACAAAGAGATATTTCCTGAAGGTGAAGGAGGGCCGTGTTCCGATTGGCACGACTGCGAGGATGAGCGTGACTTCTGGCTGTTGGTTCCGAACGCGGGAGTCGACCGGGCAGGGTTCGATGAAGTGTTGGATGCCTTCAAGGATGACAGGAGACTCCTGGTGGACTTCACCAACACTGTTCGTGAACTCTGCAGAATGGTCTTCTCATATAACCTCCTAGGCCTGCCGCCACTTAATCCTCGCGTGCTGTGCGAGGTCCTCACGCCGAAGCGGTGTCAAGCACTTGTGGATTCGGAACGCTATGAGTATCTCGGAAACTCCATTTTGCAGCTAGTGGTGTCCGAGTCGGTGTGGTCGAAACAATTCTCAGCTGGAGGAGCCTCCCTGGAAGGGAAACTGACCAGCGACAGGCAGAAGATCATTTCTCGCAAGCGCATGTCGCAAAAAGCGGTCGAGGGTGGCATCCTCAGTTTAATGCAAATGCGGAGTCCAGCAGCAGTTGGTGTGGGCGGTGCCGCTACAAAAGACATTCTTGTGTCCATCACCAGTGCTGCCCGTAGTTGCATGCTCGCTCTCATCGGAGCACTGTGTGACAGTCATGGTGTTGATTGTGTTGTGAAAGCAGTCACTAAGTTCAAGTTGGTGGAAATTGTCCCAGCGTGTGGCCTCCTGCCGCACAGCTCCGCTGGGGAAGGAGCTACTTTGGACGACTGGTTGCTGCCGGATGACTTCCCGCAACTCGTTCGAGGGAAGCTGAGAGAGCCTACGGTTACGTACGACACTCTGTCGGCTGCTCAGCAAGGCTCGTCTGTGGATATAGGCGGTTACGTTTTTGAAAAACATCCATGGTTGCTGACCGAGTCCCTCACACATGCGAGCGTAACTTCAGTCAGTGCCTCTTACTCTAATGAACGGTTGGAGTGGATCGGCGATGCTGTTCTTGGTGCAGTTGTTCTACAGTGGCTATTTAAGCTTGAGAAGCCTCCGAAGAACATAGTCGAGGCGTTCACGGCCAACACATGCAATGCTCACCTGGCCAAGGTTGCTGTAGAAAGGCTCGGTGTCCCCGACTTGTTCAACGCATTCTCGGCGCCTCTCTTGCGAGCTGTCAATCGCTTCGTGAATGAGCTATTTTCTGGCCGCGCGGTAGTTCGACGAGGCCCCAAGCCACTGGCGGACTGTGTGGAGGCGATCATTGGTGCGGTATGGCTAGATGCAGGCGGCTTGGCTGGTGGGGGCTGGGAGGCGGCGACGACTTTCATTACGAAGAATGTTGTCGCCGAGCCAGACCAACCCTTGAGTGATATCGTCATTGACCTGACCAGTCCTTTAGCATGTGCCGAGCCGTCGGTCTCGGTGTCGGAGTCAGCTTCGGCTGATACCATCCCTCGGAAAGATCAGGGTGTAAAACGCCCAGCAGCTTCGACCGAGGAGAGCGGCAGTAATAAGCGAGAAGCCGTGGATGCTGTTGACTCAGAGGAGGCTAAAGCTCTGAGGGCACAGTTGACGAGGTTGTCCAATACTCTGGATGCCGACGAGCTGAGACTGGTTATCGATGGTATCAAGTCGCGAATAGCACGTCGTCGAAGTTCTGGTCAGTAGTGCATCTCGTGCTGTGCGAATGTTTTACGTCTGTTGCTCGTGATTATTTCTCCAGCGCGTCTCGGATTCTTGTGTTCATCGCTGTGGTCCAATATCTTTCCAGTGTTTGTGATTCCCTACCAGGGGTTCCTAGGGCAGGCTAGTGTACATTTAAGTGCAACCGCTGCGTGCTCATAGTGCCCGGCAATAAGTGTTGCATCGTTATGAAAATAGAGATGACCGTAGACACTAGGGCAGCCTTCGACTGTCCTACCTCTATATACTATCAATTGATCTATGCTGTTGCATGGGTGGGGTTGCCAATGAGGCAGATTTGTTATGTGAGAGAATGGAGGGAAGCAGCAACAACACTATCGTGTCGAAGTTCCTTAGAAGGACTGCCCAGCGTGGAATATCAACCATCAAAACTGCAATAGTAGCGTTGGGTCTCCCGCTAGCTGCCTAGTGGAAGTAGGACTGGGCATGTTGACTGTAGTGAGGGAATCCAGATGGTACAAACTGCATGCGTATGGAGTAGTTGATTGGCGCCCGGAAGGCTGAGCTGTTGTTGCGTTGATAGTAAGTCTCGTTGCGAAGTACTCCAGATGGTCAGTGAGCGTCGAAATTGATTCTGAAATTCATCTCTACCAGAGAAACCAGTCCTGAGTTTCGGGATACGTTTGCTGAACAGTCCTATTATATCATAGCGCTATGGAGCCTCCTAGAGTCCCATCAGGGATGGCGATGGGCAAGTGGAACCTCGATTCAGCAAGTACGACTACGGCCGGCGATGAGGAAGCTCAAGGGACAGGTACTACTTGTTGCTGCATGTGCCAGTCTACTGGCCCTGTGGTGGACCTCACGCGTGGTATAAACTTCCAGCAGGTGATAGCGAGAGTCATCGGCCGGTTGTTACGGCTGTACAGAAGGGGAGGGGGAAAGGTCCGTCGTTGAGGGATCGACTACTGCGTATGATGGCCTCCAACGAAGAGTCCCTCGACCGTCTGAAGCAGTTGGAAGAGCAGTTCGATGCACTGCGTAGGGCATTCGAGGCGCTTGCCGTTCACGTGCCACCAGAGCTCTCACTGGAGATCGCGACAAGGTAGATTGGATGCTTAAGCGACAGCTTGTCTCGTCGGACAATAGATTTGGCCTTGACTGGTTCAAGTCCGGGCACTCCGAAAACGCCTTTGAGTTGCCGCTTCCTACTCCGTCAGACGATCTCAAACGGTGTGGGTGGAAGATTTCCATTGCGGAGTGTCGAGGGTTGCCGCGTAGGTCGAGCTGCGGGTTAAAGCGATGTTAGGATGGCGCTCTGTAGGGATGAGGGTGTTCGCCTCCCCCTCCTTGAGGCTCTGGGTACGCTTGGATAACGAGACTCTTGGCACGTCCTGGACATCAGCAGAAGTACCGTGGAGTGACCATCCTGTTTGGGAACCCTCTGATGACGGCGTAGACTGCCGACCTGGTACGTTTCATGACAAGCTGTCATGGTGACTTGCTCTGTGTCACGGTATGGCTTCGCTCCGCCCATATATACTCGCTGTACCACTCAGGGGACGAAGTTCGTCTGGCCGTGTTGAGCCCGGATGCTGTGGTTGGAGATTCCCAGCTCGTTACCCTTGAGGAGGGGTGCGGAAGGACGATGGAAATCCCCCTATGGAGGCATACAGTTGGCGACTCCGCCCTGAGACTGCCCTCGGGAACAGCAGTAAGTCTCCTGAGGCGATGCTCGCTCATCAAAACTACTTTTCCGCGGAGTTCCGCCGAGTTGTTATCGTATCGTGGTCGTTGTGTCTTCCAATCCGTCTAATACCGATGCGCCTGTATTCCCCATGAGATGGTGTTTGGTCAGTTCTTTCGTTTGGGCGACATATTATTAATATTGTAATCTATTAGTAGATATAGAGATAAAACAATGGCCTTAAATGGTGTCGACATATTAGCGTATAATATCGCATTGTATATATAGTATTCCACACCCTCTTTCCCGGAGTGGTCAACATAGGTTTTACTGATGGTCCAAGCCGAGGCCCCGTCCATCACCGCAGTATTCCGGCTCATCTCCATTGACGATGTAGCCCTCCCGTCTGACGACCCGCCACCTTCGGCCGTCTCGGTGACCTTCACCGTAAAGTCATCGGGCGAGGCTCGGCAGCTACGCCTGCCCCATGACCCTTCCATCGACGCTCAGCCAGTAGAGCTGTGTTTGGACTCTCGCGCTGAGGAAGAGCAAGTGATTGCGAGTTTGCAAGTCGATGGCTGGGGTACAGTGGGTGTTGGGGAGGGAGTAAGTGGCTCTTCAATCGTTACTTCCCATACCACTCCTCAGACAATTCATCCCAGTTCGACAGCCGAAGAGTTAGCCATCGAGCTATGGCGTGATGATGATTATGGTGTTGACCTTTCCTCCGCTAGTGACCAGGACTGTGTTGGCGTCATCACAGTACATGTCACATACTCATAGTTTCATATCGCTCAGCGTGTCGAGCCTCCGTGGGTCTCTGAGAGCTCACCGTTTTCAGTCGTTTTTATAATGTCAACAGCAGTAATACTCACCGCTCTCTCTGCCGCCGTCACGCATGCTCAGCTAGCGACCGATGCCGCCGAGCGATTGGCAGATCAGCTCGTCGAGGAACGCAGCCTTTCCGAGCCCCCAGTGAAGACCATCGCGAAGACAAGCTCAGCTCGGCAGAGTCTTCCGACTGCAGATCAACCGGTGCCGATCATAACACCTAAGGTCCGCGCACCTGAGCCCAAGCGCCTTGATGGTCCTCCAGTCTTGCTGTCCCATGCTGAGGAGCCCATCACTGATGTCGATGGCGGTTGGGACGTCCCTGGTTTGGATCTAGACACACAGGAGGTGGGTGCTGGTGCAACTCCAGTTGCTGTGACCAATGACAAAAACGATCGAATAGCGGATGGCAACCAATCCAGAGAGGTCGCGGGTTCGATCCCTGGTGACGATATTAATGAGGATGGCTGGGATGTGGGGAATCTAGGCCTCGAAGACGATGTGCCCGGCTGGGAAGTGGATGACATGGGCTCAGCTCCGTCAAGCGATGACTACCTTGCAGAGTTCAATCGGCAACCCGTCCCCTGGGTGGCGAACTTGATAGCTACGAGGGAACCAGAGAAGGTGCAATCGGCTGTGGAGCACCTCACCGCTTCTGGAGGTGTGTGGAATGGGTCCTGCGGTGACTTTATCACTGCTGTAAGGACTGGCTTCAGTCGTCGTTCCCATCCAATGGTGAGTATCAAGCCTGGCGAGTGTATTCCATCCCGTCGCCGCTCAGAAGTCACTACAGGACGTCTGGGATAACCTTCGCCTTGTCTTCGGCTACCCTGGCGGCCTCTCGAGGTTGATACCGCTCTCCCCTACAACCACAGATGAGTTCATGGCGGAGCTAGTGACGCGTGGCATGAATCTAAGCGCCGAGACGTGGCGCTCGTTGGGAGATTCATCAGCCGTGGAGGAGCAAGTAAGCCTCGGGACATTCTCTAATATGAGTTTCTGATGCGTGTTTGGATGGTATTCAGTGTTTACAATACTTTGAATATAACTTGTCGACAGTCTCCAACGGTATCATATCAACACGCTTTGAAATATTTCGCTTTCTATAAGAGCAGATCAACTCTGATGTGGAGCTGCCGGGAGTTTCAATCTGGCATGTTGCCATTCTCAGGTCAACAGCCTACTCCAGAACTTCCAAGGTGGAGTTGAGTCGCCGATGCGTCCACTGGATTGGCTCTGTCTGCTCTGGCTCAGCCATGTGTCTCATGCGCCTCACAGCTTACAAAACTGTCTCTTCAACCGGTGAGTTGTCGGCTCCCATTTGCTCCTCAGAAGAAGACTAACCCCTGCTCAGTTTCCTCGAGTCTGTCAAGGCGACCGGCTTTCACAATCCGGGAGAGTTGATCGAGACATTGAGGCCCTTCCCCAACGAGGCTAGGGTGACTTGTTTCCTTCACTGTGAGGATCCTGTAGACCCGAATTGTATGCAGGTCCAATGCGCTGTGCCCGACCTATTGGAGGCGACCTGGGAGGAGGCGGCCACAGTGGTAGACAATATGATGCGCCAGCGGGAATGGCAGTCTCATCAAAACATTGATCTTTCTGAGTCTGAAGAGTTCTCTCTTGTATGATATTATTATGTAAGAGTTGAGTTAGTTACCGGGTGGACGAGTCGGCTCCAAAAGGGTGTTAGCAACTGCGGTTACCCTCGATGTCAACGCACTCTCCAGTGATAGCCCTGTTCGATCTGGACTGTTTTTACGCTCAAGTTGAACGACGCCGTTTGGGTATACCGAGTTCCGTCCCCTTTGTGGTCTCCCAATGGGACATGGTCTTGGCGGTGGACTATTCAGCTCGGAAGCTACCCGGAGTGAGCCTTGATTTCGTCAGCCACAGAATTGGATACCATTCAGGTCCAGCGCGGAGCCCTGACGTCTATCGCTGAGAAGGCTGGAGCGAAGAGCGCACATGTTGAAGTCGTGGATGTGGTCACCGGCGAGACCTTCCCCGATGGGCCGCCTCCTGGTGAGCCTCGTGACCGTTACAGAGTCTCTCTGGACCGATACAGGGAGGCAAGTGAGGAAGGTGAGTGGCCTCCAAGGCCTGGGGTCTAGACCTCTCTGGGAGGTGCTCAGCGGTGGGCTTGTCAGTGATGCGGGCCCTCCGCACAGCTCTGCCCGAGTCGGCCCCTTTGGAGCGTGCCAGTATTGATGAGGTCTTCGTTGATTTGACGTCACTCTGTGAAGAGGAACAAGAAGAACAGATGCCTGCTGGTATCAAGTGGGCTGCTGGAGAGGTCAGCTGGGAGATAGTCTACGTCGCTCCGTCTTGCACCACGACTTTTCGAGGAAGTGTCTGCCCCTTCTATCCTTCCACGGAGTGTACTCTTCTTTGAAGCGGCATTTCCTCTTCTGTTATGCATGTTTGCATGCCTCCCTGGTTCCGTATGAATAGTCGTCTATGAGTCGTCCCCAGGTTGGCAATTCAGCTCTACAGGAGGGCGCCATATGGGCGGAGAGGCTCCGCAAGGAAGTGGAGTCCATCACCGGCTTCACCATGTCAGCCGGGGTGGCTAGCAACCGACAGCTTGCGAAGCTTGCATGCGGTGTTAACAAACCCGACGCTGTCACAGCTCTAAGTGACAATAAAGTGGGTCTTCGCTTCTTTCTTCCCTGTGGCGTATTGCCGTCGAGCAGATACTGGACTTCATGGCTGGCGTGAAGGTGAAGTCATTGCGAGGGGTTGGAAGGGCGACGTTCCACGACATAGAGAGCCTCCTGCCGTGCCTCACTGGTGACACCAAGTGTGGCGAGATATGGCCTGTCCTCGACGAGCTCGACCCCGACCCGGCCAACGCCGAGCTTGTAGCCTGGTTGAAGTTGGCCTCTAGAGGACGAGACCCGGTGGAGAACGCCAAACCAGTAAAGGACTCGGAATCTCTAAAGGCTGGTAGCGTCAGCGCCTCGAAGATCTTCCGCCCTTACCTGAAGGAAGCGGCCAAGATGCAGTTCTGGATAGAGTCCTTGGCCAAAGACGTCGTCGATCGCGTGAGAGGCCGAGCGCCGCAGTTCCCGAAGAGCCTTTGTGTGTCTCTCGGTCGAGAGGCAACCGCCACCTACGCCACCAAGAGCCGTCGATGTCCAATGCCAGCACTGGATAAGGTTATTATCACCGCCCAGCAAATGGCCGCACCGTTGATAGCCTCCTTTGGGAGGGTCGGCATGATCACTGTCACTGCGTTGGACCTGCAGGATCCTCCAGCACATCAGCCTGGCCACAATGGTGTTGTTGCCGCGGGGGATGCGACCAGTGCCTCTGTGGGACATACTAAGGGAGCAGTTGATGCCTTCTTCGCGAGCAGTCGGCTGCATTTCCTTGGGACGTGGCGGAGACGATTCCGGCAGTTCCTTGAGGAATGCCAACCGGCCGAGGGGAAGTGGTCGGAAGGAGAGGTCTCTAGCGAGATCGTCGAGGAGCTCAGTCGAGAGTGCGAGCGGCGGCTGAAGCCGAACTCGAATATTGGCAAGCGGTACATGCTCTGTGACTTCGACAGCTTCTTCGCTTGTGTGGCGCAGTTGCAAGCAACAGGCGTTCCTGAGTCTACCAAGCCAATGGCTGTTGTCTCTGGTATGGGTCGAGGAAGCGAGATATGCAGCGCTAACTATGCTGCGAGGAAGTATGGAGTGTCCGGCAGCATGTGGCTCGCTGAGGTGAAGGCCTTATGCCCTGATCTGGAGAAGGTCCCGGTGACCAGTGAGCTCCTCACCCAGTGCAACACTGCGTGGAAACAAATGCTTCGGTTGATGGCCGTCGTGGGCGGAGGGACTTTGGACCGAGTCGTGGCCAAGAGCGTCGACGAGGCCATCGTTGATGTATCTGGTGAATGCGGTTACTCCGACGAGGCAGCGGTGGCCCAGGCGCTGCAGAAAGCGGTCACTCAGGCTACAGGCCTGCCGTGCTCCGTTGGGGTTGCCGACAGTCATGTTTTGGCGAAGGTCGCTACCACTCAAGCGAAGCCTCGAGGCATCAAGGTTCTCAACGACAAGTCCTTCCTTGCTGATTTGCCGTTGCATATGCTTCCGCAGGTGGGCTATCGAACTTTAGGGAAACTCCAGAATGAATTCGGCCTAGCTACGATAGGCGACCTCTTGGACCCCAACATCGCGCCTCTCCTAGCAGACTCATTTGGGGCCAAAACGGCTGAGAGGATGCTCACTAACGCCCGGGGTGAAGACTACAGGAATGATCTGGTCACTGACATCTCTACTGTGAGCGCTGATAAGAATTTCGGCATTCGCAATGTGACGCCTGAGTCCGCAAGGCAATTGGTCCGAGCCCTTGTCGCACAAGTGATGCCGTTGTTAGAAGGCCTCGTGCCGGAGCGTGTCATCCTGAGGCTGTACCTCGCCCCCGACGATTGGGTGGAACCATTTAAATTCATGGGCATTGGTGCGTGTTATCAGTGGAGCCGTTCGTGTGCTGTTACTCCTTCAAAGAACGACATTGCAGCACTCGCGATAGGACTGCTAGATGGCGTAGAAGTGCACCGAATCCGCGGTGCGGGTGTGGCCGTACGCGTTCACCCCAAAGACCAGTCCCATAATGCGGCAACTGGTGATAAGAATCAACGGACTCTCACGGACTTCCTCGGGAAAAAACCAAATCCTCCAGTCTCCAAAAAGCGAAGAACATCTACGATCGATGCCGCCACTTCTGCAGCGATCGCTAGACTGGAAGAGGAGTCGACTATTCGGTCATGGCGCGATGGTCACGCCGACGCCGAATTAGCGGAGTTTGCACATCTGGGATTCGACTATTGCCAGGATCCTGATGTCGAAAAGAGGTTCCATGAGATGGTACGCTTGTATGCACGTTTCGAATAATCATATATTCCCTCATGTTTTTGTCACTGATACAATTTCGCACTTGTTATCATTCAAGGAGTAAATCATGTTGTGTTTGCAACAGTAATCCAAATTGTCAATGTTGTGAGGGTGAACCGCGATAAATAGAGAAATAATGAAAACACAGAACAGAAGAGATGAGTGCTGAAAGTTAATATATGGACATGAATGTACTTGCATGAATAAATTGCTTAAAGTCAGGCGTACTGACTGCTGTGGGTGATCTTCTCGAGAACCTGAGAGTCGATGGCAACAAGCCGTTTCGCAATGACAACCTTACCTTCTTGCAATAATCCAAGACCAGGCCCGAGGGGAGGTTCGCTGGGGGTGGTTGAGACACAGCATCTACGATCGTGCGAAAGACCTGAAGCAAAGACTCAGGATGCATCTGATGCATAACACCAACCTGGGTGCAGGTGACTCTCTTGACGCGGACGGGTATCTCGTGGTTGGATAAGAGCTTCTCGATCAACTCGTAGCACTCCTCCTTCGATAAGCCTGGTATAAGTCCTCACCGAATGTGCCAGTACTCCTGTCTCACCATCAGACTCTCGATGGTCTGCTAGTGCCTTGGACACTACAGGGTCGCTCTCAGTGAGGTTGTTGAGCAATCCCCGAGCCTGGAGAAACGTCGATCCACGAGAGGGGACGAATGCTGAACTAACCCTGACGATCTTCACTGGAGATTCCTTGGACTTCCTACCACCACTACTGTTCCTGAAACAGGCCAGCAGGAATGGAGCAACCATCGATCCAAGCGGCCCTTTCACCTGCCCCCAAGCTTCTTCGCCGAGGCGGGCGATTTGATCAGGGTGCTCTCACTCGGGAGGGCACGTTGGGTCTTATAGGGCATCGGCGACTCAGCGAGGGGACTGCCGCCAACTTTGCTATACCGGCCGACCTCAGCATCGTTCAGGGTGGTATCTGTGGGAAACTGCTGATTGACTTCTTCAAGACTCTCTCTGCTCACTCATGTCGGGTCCAGCAACACTGAGGTACTTCGATTTCGCACCTGCGTACCATACCATAATTCTGTCAACAAAATAACCACCCCCACCTATGTTGAACTCAGTGGCTCTATTCTCCTTATTTTTAGGCATGCCTTTGTAGCGTGCAAGTTCCTCCTGTAGTCTAGCGATCTCCCTCTTTAGATCGCTCACCTCAGCGTGCAGCTAGTACGGAGAGTCCTCAGCCTGCCTAGTGGAGCCGAATCTCACCTTACTGACTATCTTGTTCTTGCTGGTGGCTTCCGTTACTGTTATGTTGATATTCTGTAGCTTTTCCTGAATCAGCAACCCATCGGCGACCCGTACAATTCCCTGTTCCCAGACCTCAGCCTCCCGCCTAGCCTTCTCCATCTCGCTTCTCTCGCGTTGCAGGTGGGCTACCTCATCCCGAGCAATATCCAGTTGCTGAACAAGTTCTGACTGATAATACATACACTGCTGAGACCTACCTCCTGGAGATCCTCCAGCTCCCTATTCTTCCGCACCATAGCAGCCGCGCTGGTCTCGCCCCCGTCACTGCCACCTATGCGAGGTCCCCATGACAAAACCAACTCTCTAGCCGCGCACTCACCCGTGTTTTGCTTCAAATGCGACAGATTGGACGTTTTGATTACCTATAAGTCAATACACGCCCACAGTGGAACCCCATCACTCGGTGCTCTACATCCTCCTTATAGGCACGTCCTTCAGCCTTCACTTCAGCAAGCTCGGCTCTTTGAAGCGCCTGCCTGGCCTCCTTCCTAGCAGCTTCCAAGTCGAGCTTCAATGCACTCTCTCTATCGGCGATAGCATCCCTAGCCGCCGCAACAGCGTCTCGCTCCTAAGACCTCACACGTCCCCAGAGACACCCCAAGGACTCACTCACCTTTTCAATACTGCGTAGTTGCTCTTGAATGACCTTCATTTCCGATCTGTCCGTAGTCGAGGAGTTGAGCTCGGCCCTGTGATGAGACCGTGCCACTAATGATAACCCCTCCCCTCCGCCTCCCCTCACTGAAGCATCTCGTTCTCCTGTGCCGCCTCCTGAAGGGCCTGTTCGAGCTTGGCAATGTGGCCTCGTTGGGCCTCTGTCTCCGTGACCAGCATCTCTTGCTCCTACAAGGCACCTCAGCTAGCCCCGCCATCAACGAAGGCTACCTGGGTAACCAGCAGACTCTGCTGCTCGAAGTGGGCTTTCAACGATTCCAATTGCTGAGCTCAACACATGTAAGGGAATCAGCAACAACCTCATTGTACCTGCTTCGTTTCTCTCAGAGTTGCCACAGTCTTGTCGAGGTCGTGCTTCGCCTGATCGAAGCAGATCATCCGTTTCTAACGGCAAGTGCGTCCTCACCCGACGAGCCTTCTCCTCTGAGGTGTTGAGCTCACTCTGGACCCGCTTCAGCTCAGCTGTCCGGGTTTCTAGTCTCCGGTTCTAGAAAAAAATGGATTTGGATGTGTCATTATAAACACATCGTTATCACTAATTCCGCAATCTTCGGATCAGGTGCACGACTCGTTGCCGCAGCCGAGGCCTGACCGAAGTTCGTCACCGCGCCACGAAATGGCTGTCACCAATCGGTTACTGTGTCTTACAAGTGACGCATTCTCCGTCCGGAGCTTGGACAGGGCCGCCTTGAACTGGCCCTCGCTCACCTTATAGCTGTCGAGCTCAGCAGTTAACCTCCGACCCTCCTGATGGGCTTCGGATCAACTCCAGCTACCATCGTGAAAAAGGCTAACCTCTTCCTTCTGCCTCAGCTTGTCGGTCGTTGCTCGAAGCTTCTTCTCAACCGATGCGAGCTCAGCGCGAACTTTGTCAACCTCAACCTGGCTCGGACCAGTGTGCTGAACACGAGCAGGGGACTCCGCTGAAAGGGTAGACTACAGAGCCGCCGAACGAAAGATGTTACTACCTCTGTAAGCTGACTGTGGCACTCCATGTGCCATGCTTTGATCAAGGCTTGACACGTTCATACTCTGAGAGATGGAGCGTGCATAGGTCCTCACGGAGTCCTTCTCACCGAAGCACGCTGTACAACTTGAACCCTAGGAGGTTGGCCACTGTTGTTCTGTGAGGGAGTATGTTGCTGGTTGGTCAGCGCCGACCCAGAGTTGGCGTAGTGTGGTAGCTGCTGCGGCTGCTGCTGTACAAACTGCGGTGGTCTAGGGGAGAGGTGATTCGCAGTGTGGTGATGCGACACGTTGTTGGAGATGTTGAGTGACGACGCGTTATTCTGAAGGAGCTTCTTCTCCCATTTCGGAGGCCGCCCCCTCACCTGGCTGGGCCCCACAGGCGTGTACTGCCTGACGTAGCCCGAACTGGGGGCCTGCCCAGACACGTTCCGAACGACCATCCGGCCCGATGGTTGTTGCTGCTGCTGCGGATACTGTATGCCGGACGATGGATAGTGCTGAACGGTCTGACCGGGGTGACCGGTGGAAGTGCTGCTTACGAAGGAGTTAGGGCGATAGAACATAGTGATGGACAGGGGTGTGAATGGCAGAGAAATAACCTCTACACTGGTTGAAGTTACAACACGTTGAACACAACCGTGCTGCTAAGGCCCTCCAGAAACGAGCGCGAGCGAATTCGACGAGATTTAAAGCTCTTGGTGGTAACACCTTTACCAATAGCCTTCTAGAGCTCCAGTCGCTCCCTCTGTGAGATAGTTCGGAGAGCAGATGCCCAAGCAGAACAGAGAGAACTCTGTTCCACCGGGATAGATTTCGATCTGGAGCGAGGTGTTGAGGACTACTCCCCTCATCGAGGGCACTAGGTCGGCGCCTATCGGATACATAGAGAATTCATGTTGTAAGGAGGGAGGGCGACACAGCAAGGATCGGCGGCATCAGTCTTGAAGAGGGACCCACTGCAGAACATGACGGGAATATCAAGGGGACAGTTATTGTGTCACTGTCATACCAAATTTCCTACACATAAACAGTGTGTGTAGCGTGGTCCATTAATGATATGCTTGTCGACTGTACTCGAACAGGATCACTTATGTAGTGATTTCCTTTCGTTCACAAGAGTACTCTTGACAAAACCCTAAACCGTGATGATGATACGTATACCGCATCCACTCGGAGGTTTAGTCCACTCCACTGATGTGGTAGTGCGACTTCGATGAGTTCATCTCCTCACAAGGGAGATGTGGGTGACGGTAATACTGAGCGGTTAATTTCAAAAAGAAGTCATTAGTTCGAATCTTAATTTTGCTTCATAACCATAAAAATCTATAAATGAATCGGTTGCCTTGATTCTGCTGCCTATTTCGAACTTATCTGTCCCCTACAAGGCCGGTCTCATCTATCATCGTCATCAAACTTTAGACGATCCACCATCACCATCTTCAGAGTTACTAGTAGCAGACACTCACCTTGTCCATTGGGCTGGCCATAGCTTGAAGCTCGGATCAACAACCGGCTTGCAGCTAGTATACGCTCGTCTCCATGGCAGGGGTGTGACAGTCGGGCTCAAGCTTCCAAGAAACCAGTGGGGAGCTCTGTGATGGCCAAGTGGCCTCGTCCTTGAGCTGCTTTCGCTACTGTCTGTCCTGATTTCTGTTACTACCGATCTTCAGCATTACTTCAGCTCAAATGGCGATCCCAATAGCAGGAGTGGTGAAGCATATAGTGTTCAACGAAAGTAAGACCTGAGCAAAATGAATCGTCATGTCGGCACCCCGGCGCAACACCTTGGGTGAGGGTCGGAGATTTGGGCTGAACAGACGATAAAACTGGTCATAACGACAAAGGGGAAATTGTGCAGGAAAGTCAACTTGGGTTGGCAAGATATGTTACCATTCAGCTAGAGATGATATGAAACTGGTTGGGTCAAAGGCTACTCCTTCACCGTGCATTGACCTCTCCCTTTCTGGTTCAATGATCCACTGTAAGAGATGATGAACTCCTCGATACCCATCATCACTCCACTCGAGCAACATGATCGTGTTTCGGCGATTTAACATTACCCCAAGCTCGGATACAGAGACCTGTGTGATAGTGGGGGAGATGCTTCCAACTGGTGGGCATCCTCACTTCAGTCTTCACCTTCGCTACTTCCGTTGAACTAGGGGCTACTCTGATATCGATACAAGCGCCACCGTCGGCTACGCTTTCATCGTGGATACGGATGATTTCACCCAACACTAAATGGTACCGCGTTGGGCTGCCTCTCCTGAAGGGTAAGGACAATGTCCGACCGATCAAGTGGTAGACCTTCCCAACCTGAGGTCAGAGGCAGCGAGGCTCTCGCAGTGGGGTCTTAACAGAGCGTATAACTCCTCTTCATGGAAGCCTATGGGGCCCAGCATGGGAAGTGCCGACCTGGCGAGAGACCGCGAAGCGCCTCTAATAGAACTACTACCTATCATCACCTCCCAGCAGTATAGACCCTAGCGGCCAGAGGTAGTTTACAGGGCCATGGATGCTCCCGAGCTGAGAGTAGGAGCCTCGTCGGTCACGCCCACACGTGTGTACTCACTTTACCGTTACTGTCTATGAATATGCACTCCTTCATCTCCGAGCCTTGGGCCGACATCCCGATAACCACAACTTCGTCCGGTCCAAGCTCAGGAGGTTTTCTCGGGCGAGATGGAGACGCCTGAGCGGGACCACTCATGTGAGCAACCCATGTTACGCCTGTACTCTCAGTGGGTGCTTTAACAATGGATGTTCCCTGCGAGGAGTGGAGGGATGACCGTAAACCTGATGACCCCACTCTTCAGTGCCAACACAACGATATACGCACCTTGTCTGATGCACGATGATGGCCTGTCAACCTTGCTGGACGACGGGCCGAAGGCAAACTAGAGAACAGCTCCTTGAAGGCCCCACCCGTATGTGCCTTACCCCGTCGACATTGACCTCAGAGACTCATCGAGGGTTGGCTCAATACGACCAGACTCGTCAGCCCGTACAGAGGATATCTTGTGAACTTCCCGCTCAGTTTTCAAACTGACCAACGATGAGTCAACTCAGTGCTAGTGAGGCCTAGTTGAAGACTGCACACCTCCTCTCGATGAACTCGATCTCTCTGAGGGCTTCCTTGGTGAAATAAACCTATACAGGGGCCTCATGTGCTGTTCAAGAGGTAGCCCTACCGCTAGTTCAACCTTCTCTAGGAGAGCATCGGATCCTTCTGAGGTTGCTGTGGAAGAGTGCAGAGGCATGGCAAGGGCACAAGGGTCATTGACAGGTTCACTGGTGAACCCAAAACGAAGCCATACTCAGACAGCTGTAAATTAGGTGAACATCATGTCTGCCACTCTTGAATTCGGATCCTCTCGAGTACTTCCGTTTTTTCTAGCAGCAACATCATCTTTCATGCCACTTCCCTCGGCTGACCGCAGATATTTGCACGCACGAACATAGCCTGCCTTCCGTGCTGCGTCTAAAGGTGATTCACCGTATCTAGGGCGACGAAGGAGTTATCGCTCCGATACGACCTAGACTAACCTATTCTTCAGCGATGGGTCAGCACCCGAGTCCACGAGGAGTTCCACGAGAGACAGAGGATGGCACCTCCGACAAGCTGTTGTCAAGGGAGTGTCCAGCCAGATGTCTCTACAGTTGACATCGGCTCCTAGCCTAAATCGCATGATGTAGTGCGGACGAGATAGACTCATATAGGAATACCTCAACAACGCCTCGACAGTACGCGCATGCCCGGCAGTGACAGCGAGAGCTAGCGCTGTCGCCCCGAGAGAGTTAGTCGCCATCACCTGATGAACAATGGAGCAGCATTACCACTACATCGGAAGTACAGACAGTTGAACTCACATCGGCCCCCCTCTCACCCAGAGTTCGGCATACATCAACGTGGCCCTCAGCAGCGGCAACTAGCAGAGGTCGCTGCCCAGTGCGGTCCGAGGCGTTCGGGTCGGCCTTCGCATCAAGTATCTTGCGCACCTAGAAAAACATGCATATGTTGCACAATATCTGTCTCGGAGACTCCGATCGACAAGCGATCGGGACAGAAATTGTGTAGCGTACCACTCCTCCCCCACATCCTAGTATGATAAGGCAACAAGGTGCCTACTACACTTGTCGACTGTACTCGAACAGGATCACTTATGTAGTGATTTCCTTTCGTTCACAAGAGTACTCTTGACAAAACCCTAAACCGTGATGATGATACGTATACCGCATCCACTCGGAGGTTTAGTCCACTCCACTGATGTGGTAGTGCGACTTCGATGAGTTCATCTCCTCAAAAGGGGGATGTGGGTGACGGTAATACTGAGCGGTTAACAAAAAAAATAATGATTAAATTGAGTTTTGGCTTTGTAGACTGAATATACTATTTATTATCATTGTTGTACGTGAACTAATAGTTGCTCCTATTTGTAATAGCTAGAGAAAGTGGATTCACAATCATGTAAAGAATAGGAATATTTTAGAGTCGTTTCGTAGGCTTTAAAAAGTATATTATTCTTGACTTCGGTACCTTAGTCACATCTCCATCGCTCGCCGATGTGTAAAGTTCAGCGAACGTTATTGGAACTGTCATGATGTCAACGTCAATGCTCGAGTCGGGCTGAACCACGACAACACGGTCGGCATGAACATCGTTTTTGGGCAACTCCTTTCTGAGAGCAAAGGAAGGGATATATGGTTCTAGGTTCATGTAGTCTTCATCCTTTAATATAAATTCTATTCACGCTGTGCATCTAGATGTCTTTATAACACTTCTAGGCCCGAAGTTAGGAAACCGAGTTAGCCCGAAGTTCGGGCTAATTCGGTATCAATACGGATAACTCAAACAATCAACTACTGCGATCAGCATAACACTGGCATCTGCAGAGCTGATCAAGTCGCCGATGAAGTTGACACTTGGTATCGCGGAAAGCGGCACTGAGCGCCGCTGGCATACATACATCCATTCGCGTGGAGCTCGCAGTGGCACACAGTAGTCACACGGTGTCCCCGTTCTTGAAAAACAGTAGTGTAGAGGATCGTAATAATTAGCTTCCAGTATCCGTGCTTTCGCCATCAGGAGGGAACCTACCAAACGATAATACGTAGGCCCGAGAATCTTGATCAATGATCTCCACTGCGGTAGTGGAGCCCGATCAACTGGTTGTAACAACCGAAAGGCTGCTGCCCCACCTGACAGAAACTTCGCTTCGCCGTTGAGGTTGGCGAAATACGCAGGTTCCCGCGTCGCCAGCTTGACAAGTCCAGTGATCGGCGAACTGGATTGGGTTGCTGTCGATCTGGGAAGTCTACACTGCAGCACGCTTCCTTCCCGAGTGTGGCTCCTACCTCAGGTGAGGGTCAGTAAAGTGACGACGTATCAAGGCCCACAACTCAAACACGCTCCCTGTCTTACACACTTCTCGATATGTCTTTGCATCGATGTACCTAGACTGCAGTATGTATTGAAGGGGAGTAAGACCAACTCACATGAAGAGGTACATATACTCGCCGCTATGACTTTCACCCAACCGCCTCACACTGGGCGTCACTATCACTTGGGTTGGTCGATGATAGAGCACAGTGCTTCCAGTTGCCGCAGAACATTCACGGTACCTGACACCAGTGCGTTCGCATGGATTTCAGTTGCAGGGGTTATCACTCATAGCCAAAGGGTAGTTTATCGTCCACTATTGGTCGCTGACGCCCTACCCTTGCTTCTGCACATGAGCGCTCACGATCGAAGTATGACGATAAAGTCGGTTGCGATTGGACTGTCATTCCACTGCGATTCAATAGAATACAATTGCCAGCTGACAAGCAGTGCATTTCAACGACTCAAATCGCGTGGAGAAGTCCAGCAGGAGCTCTTGTTGTTACCCCAATATGATGAACTCAACTCCCAAAAGAGAGCTCAATATCTTCTCATTCGTGAAACTCACTTGGGCAGAGCTCAGAAGGACAATGACTATGCTGACGACACTCGTACAAGAACCCGAAATAGATGGGATAGTCGAGTGCAATGAAATGATGATGACGGTGAGCACAACCCAGCTAGAAGCAACCTTCAATATAAAAGGTCTCGCCCACTCGATCAGCTCCAAGCCTACCACTGGACTGACGGAAAACCGCCGGGAAGTTACTATTGGGAACAAACGTTCGATAGCACAGCACGTTCGAGGGACGACGGTGACATTTGCTCCACTGGTTGGCATTCCATACTAGCGCTAAAATAGTGGACTAAGCAGGATTTTAAGAAATTACTGTGTCCACCTAGGAGATCATCATCCTACAGAGCTCACGGTTGGCGAGCCCGAGCACCACTTGAAATCGGGAAAAATCACAACTGACCGACCAAGATGAGCCATCGCTCTGACAAAAAAAGGAATGACAAACGGACCATGATGTTAGCACATAGACCAAGACGCGCGAATACAGGAAGAAAATGATAACTACCACACATGTTTCTGCGTGGCTAGATATCCCTTTAACGTTTACAAGACATAGTACAGTAATAGCGCCAACCTAATGACGGAGCGCCATGGCTACTGTTGTATACAACCGTATAACCCACACCCATAAGAATGTATGACCATAAATGATGAGAACGACGATACGGGTAGGATTGTGTCTAAGGCAATAGTAGGACGATATCAACCTTATCGCGACGGATCGGACTATGGTGTAGCTCCGCCGTGCAATCTTCTTACTTTCTATCAATATCAACAATGGTGACGGTAGTAAGAACAATATCACTCTGGTGAGGAAAAACGAATCAATAACCAACAACTACTTCATCATAAGAATGTTCACCGCTTAAGAAAATCGATCACCAACAATGCTTGAGACAAGAATCGAAACTTGGAGAGACGAACAATTTCAAAAAAGTGAGTGCAGAATTTGGCATTAGCAGGATGCCCTATGACATACTGCTTCTCTTCGATAGGCCGCCAAGAGCCAGTTTTCAATGATGAAAGTCTCAGGGAAGAAGAATGAGACTATGACTAACCCTGCCGAGGCTACAATACAGCAGAGGAGACACCTCAATTACAGCAGTAGTAAGGCGCTTGCTACGAGGGCATACCACACCGCACTGTCAGTAGCGACTCATGTTGCTCTGGAGCGAGCACCAATCAAATAGTCGACAGAATTTGAGAGAATCTCTATTTCTACTGCGATCATAGTTTGCATCATCATTATCCGTAGCTAATCTTGTAAATCCATATCGCAACCCATAGCCTCCATTCTTGCTAGTATGTTCTCTTCGGAATCTGAGTTATCCTCGTCGTCGTTCGCCATACGACTGCACATGCACATACGATTTTCACACATCACCATCACTGACCTTTCATGTAAAGAGGAGGACGATACCCGTCCGTGCGGAAGACAGAATGCTGCTGACCCACCACGCTGCCTAGGCAAGCGCAAGTCCTCCATAAACTCTTCCAAATCGCTCACCGTTTCCGATCTGAGGGAATACTCTGTCACCACCATGAACGGTTACTCACCTGACGCGACCATATCGCGGTCTCGACGGGGCAACGCCCATAAGGAGAGCCATCGACTTTAGATCATCCACTGAGGAGTATGTCTTCTCTCTCAACGCCGAATGTCCGTCGAAAGCTTTAATCTCGCATTCTGATCAAAACACGTAATTGAGACAATCCCTTTCCCTAGCATTTCACCTGTCTCGAAAACAACGCCTTGCCAATCAGAGATGGAGAGGCCTTCCCCGTACGTCTCAGGAGACGCGTTTTTTGCTGATAAAAGTGACCCCGCGGTGACATCAGGGTCAGAACTTGAAGGGGAAGAGAGAATTTCAGCCAGAGGCTCATCGATGTCGGAGCAGGTCTCTGGACGATCACAGAAGCGGACTTGAACAACAGGCTCGAACTGAACCGCTGATCTCGGCAGGAATGTCCGCTCAAGACGGTCGGGAGACGAAGGGCATGATGCTACTGTCGATGGACTGAGGAAAGGCTCTCGCATCCTGGATGTAGACCCAACGAGCTCACGTTTTGTCTGGGGACATCGGCTCCTTACGACAATCCACGTCTCCACTACAGCAACACGGTGCCTCTGAATGACCACACATAAGCAGTAGCGAGCCACTTGGCGGAAGAGGAGCGACATTCCACGGTATGAGAGCTGGCGTAGGCGTAATGATCATCTATTACCGTCGTCAAGCCATAGACGATTACCCAATCTAACAACTCTTTCATCCTGACTCGGCACCGTCCTGAAACAATACTGCTGGGTCCAAGCAAATCTATGGCTACCGACACCACTACTACTAAGCCCACCGACACCACTACTAATACTATGGCTACCGACTCCACTACTAATACTATGGCTACCGACACCACTACTAATACTATGGCTACCGACTCCACTACTACTAATACTATGGCTACTGACACCACTACTGATGCTATGGTTACCGACACCACTACTACTAATACTATGGCTACCGACACCACTACTAATACTATGGCTACCGACACCACTACTAATACTATGGCTACCGATACCACTACTAATACTATGGCTACCGACACCACTACTAATACTATGGCTACCGACACCACTACTAATACTATGGCTACCGACATCACTACTAATACTATGGCTACCGACACCACTAATACTTCGGGTAGCTGCTTCCTTCCTCGAATGGATCTTCCAACTTCTCTTGACAATCCCAATAATGAGTGGATGATAATCCGACGATGGCTGGAGCCTTCGGCCGCGACATCATGAGAATTAAACTACTAATCGGGACAAACAGATTGCATCACTATATTCTTCGAGGCTGGCCACTATTCTTGCAAGATGCACGAATCTCCTGTCCCTATTCTGCACGTCTTTTGCCACTTGGCAGTGGATAGTATTACTATCATAGTAACATAGAAGCTCTTATTGTAGGTTTGCTGTAGCAATTATGGGGTCGGGAGAACGTCGTCCTCCTTCCGGCGATTTGTTATATTATATTATATTTGTCGTGGGTAGCTATGGGAGGAGAAAAATATAAAACTTGGGATCGTCTCGGGGAGGGGTACTTCCTACTTTGATACTATCAAATTGATAGTACGACAGTACGACAGTACTACCATCGTTTCTGTCGGGCTAATTCGTACTCGTATGGTGGTTGAGTATCCGTAGTATGCAAACTGCCGGGACTCGACTCCAGCTCCCATGGTGGTTGTGTTGGATCAGGTCCTCGGGCATCAGGCCGTCCACTGGAATCGACCTAACCATTATACTAGGTCATTGAGTCCCAGTATAACGGGTTTCTAGTAGATTTCTGTTGTTTTTATCATCCTATATTAATATCGAGCTAATCGTGGTCATCTGTCTTCAAGACCGTTCGGGATACATTTTACGTACCCCTCGTCATTGACACGTCTTCACTGAACCTATTGTGGGAGTTTATCTCCAACTATTGTTGCGTTGTCAGTCGATTGCGGTCGATTCTGGATTTTGCGGGTCGAATGTTCGCTTTATCTCAAGAAGATGTTCGCTTTATCTCAAGAAGATTGTCCGATGACACCAATACGCTGCATCTCCCAGGAATCGACTACTCCATGTCAATACTGGGAGTCCCATGGGAAGCAACTGTTCCAGTACGCGATCACTTCTGACGAGAGATAGACCCACGATCGTTACGGCGCGAACGCAACCCAGTCGTTTGAGTGGGAGTAGCTGAGTAACAAGACGGCCTGTATTGAGGCGACGAAGGAATCTCGGTGTAGTCGGCATAGCCATTTTCCAAGGAAGAGTGGTAAAGCAGTAATTTGGGCAATCCGGCTATATTATTATTACAAGTACAAACGTACCACCACCGTCGCCAATATGCATCTTCGAAAGGACACCATCGACCAGCACTACGAAAACTCTTTAACGGGGGCAGTCTCTTGCCAGAAGCGACGGAAGAAGTCGAAGAACTCAGCAGAAGTGCTGACCTTGTACCTGACACATCCACTTCTCCCAGTTGAAATCGAAGTCGGGGTCTATTACGGTGTCGGATTGATAGGCCTGAGATGGTCCTTCCTAAACGTCTTTCTCGACGCATTAAAATGCTCCTTAGCACTGTGTATGTCTGGACGATCGTTCTCCTTAGTTCGTGGAGAAGATCTTAAATGAAGTGCTTTTCCTGACCACCAACAGGAGGTCCACGAACCCCAACCCCGAAGCCCTTCACTACCGTCCTTCCAAACACACACCAGCAAGGGCTCCACCTTCCTTGGAGTAACATAGCATCTACCACAACAGACGATATCGAACCCAGCACAGGTAAGGGAAACGAACCTACCTCTTCTGATCATCGAATAGGTGACGACAGAAGACCTTATGGTCCGGCTCAGGGGCGGGCTCCTCTTCCCCTTGCATGATATCAAGGATAGCCATGCCATCTTGACCGTATCTGAGGCAGGTACCGATAGACTCGATCGAATACAACCTCAGAGCGGCTACAGTCGATAAACTGCCTTCCTCGACGGAATGCCTTGTTTCTCGAAATCTTGTGACAGTTTCATCCTAGGCTGATCGTTCAGCTCGACCAACTTGTACCTAATCACAAAACCCATTGTTCAGGGCCGGGCCTCCTCCGCAATAAGAAGGGAGCGTCGATGGAGCACAGCAGTCGACCAAGACAGTAGTTGCTATCGGACAGACCAACATCGCCCCTCCGCCCAGCTTACACCATGCCCAGTGCTGGCTGAGCTTGGCAAGTGACCAAATTAGTGCCAATACCGAAGGAATCGATAGAGTGCGGCTGGTCATGCAACGAGAGCAGGACCGCCTCGTTGATGTCATTGGAGGCGACTATACGAGCTGACATAGACAGTGTACAGGGAAGTGAAGCTCATTAATCGACTCACATCTGGCAATGAACTGGAATCCCTCATTAGCAAAAACTTCAGCAGTTGTTGAGAACACTTCCCGAGCTCTCATGCTCAAATACCTACAGTCACACCAAAGATTCTTTCCTTGCCCCAAGGAGACCACATACGCAAGGTCGCCACTGTCCAGCCGAATTCCCACAGCCTGTATTCCAGCAACCCTCCATAGACCAAGAGCAACACTGAGGTAGTTGGGTACTCCCGATAAAATAGTCTCATACGTGTCGACAAGTGCCAAGAAGGTGGTAGGGAACGCCTGGGCGTAGCGGATGAAGGCCGCCAGTTCTCCATCGTTACAGCAGTTAACCTGAAGATCCATTCTTAGACCCCATGTCCAGGTGGCCTCCTCGTCGACTAACTTGAAAGCCAATAGCATCACACAACTCCTCACGAGCACTGATGCATGCCTGTACAAACTCATGCGTGTTCACTTTGGCAGGGACAGACTGAGCTGAAGCAGAAGACCATGAGCATCCACTGTGATTGCTTCTCCTACGATCAGGTGATTTCCTAGTCTCCTCATCGAGATCATCTAATGAATGAAAGCTATTTACAAATGCATGAGCATGCGTGCCAGCGATAGGAATACCAAACACATGCCCAGCCTTCACGTTGGAAGTGCCTATAACACCAACATCTCTCCTCAAGAAACGACCGAGGTGCATCACCATCAAAGCCTCCAACGTAAGTGTACCGACTAGCGGTCAGTGCCCCGTCCGGACCCTGCGCTCGGCGTGCGCCGAATTCGAGCAACTGCGCATCGTCCCCAGCGGCTATTCGTAACCGTGCCGCTTGAGTGGCGACCTACAACACACAATAGAACACTGGCTGATAACATGGCGGTAGTAGTACTAAACAAGGGAAGTTGACGAGGTTGAGGATAGCAGTCTCCATAAGCTGACACACTATGAGTGGGCCCGCTACTCTCAGTACTGGTTCTCGAGGGAAGACGAACTGATCACCACAACACGATTGACGATAGAGCTTCCGCGGCAGTGCATCACATCGCCTTCTCTCACTGCATAAATAGTGAGGTTACTCGCATCAAGTGTAAGCAGATACTGGAAGAATTCGGGATCGGCTTCTGGCATTTGACTCTGACAAAAAAATGAGTTCCCTAATAGTAGGGAAATGAAAACTTGCAACTACCTGTAAGTAGTCTATGTGAAGCTGTGTGAAGCTGAAGGTGTTCACGTACCGAACAACTTCGTCGATACCTAGTACTCACGCTACTAACAGCATTACTAGATAAGCCCCGCCCACTACCCGCACAGACTGTGAACTCTCCACCGAAAGGACACTTCCGAAAGTACACGTCGAAAACTGCATGATCCTTCTCCTTACCAGACTTCCTACAAAACAGGCCACTTCCCAGCGATACACTGCGTATGAATATGATCACTGACCAGTAAGCATAGGCCATAGTGATTTGATACAGGTCTGTGAAGGTGGCCTCGATGATATCGGAATGAGGCTCTCCCATGTCACTGTCACACCGACACCGGGAAAACGCATGGCCGTCGCTGGCTGAATAGAACCCACTTACGACTAAAGTAGATATACGCTTTCCTTACGAGATTCACAAGCAGCATATCCCCTTGCAATGTACGAGCTGCTCCTCTCTCTATGGTAGTCCTCCTCTTCAGCACTCCTGCCTCCCTTCAAGCCAGGTAGCTTCAGCCCAGCCTTGCTGCTTTCTGTGGTTGACATAGTTTGCGACATTGATGGTAATGACCGTCGTGATTCGGTAGACGGCAAATAGCTCGAAAACTAGCACTAAAGCTGAGAGAAGGAAATGCCTACACTGAACGCAACAGCGCTGACCACCGGCCTCATATAAAACAAATTTAAATAGAGTTTCCCCTGCAAAAGTCCAGCATGTGACAACACTACTGCAAGCTCAGCACTCCACAACCTCATCCGAACTGCTCGTACTCTCGTCGTCTCCTATGTCGACTACAGGGCAACTCTGGATGCCCCAAAGCATTACAAAGCGGTTACCTCCAGAGTTTCCTTCGTGCTCCCTATACCCTCCTATTCCGAACCGTACTGATGATGCACTACGACTGCTACGCTTCACCACCTGATCAGGGGCCCACTAGTCGCGAGAGGTAAGCTAAAGTCTTCTACCTTTTTGCGAAGGATATCACCAATGGTCGGCCTTTTCCTCGGATCCGGATCCAGAATTTTCTTCACCAAACTGCGAGTGCCCGGGCCAACACAAGGTGACATGTAAGACATAAGCATTGAGTAGACCTGGACGGCATACAAGACCGTCACTGCGCTATGAAATGGCCGACACTAACCCACCTCCGAAGGGGACGACTTATCACTAATCATATCGATACCAATATTGCTATCGAGCTCCCATATAAACCTGAATAGCCTCGACCTTCCCCTTATAACACCAAACCATAGTCCTACTTCCCCGAGCACATCTCGAACAGGACACAACCCAGACTCCACACGTCAGCAGGCTTACCACACTCAGCCGAACACAGCATCTCTGGCGACATATAGCAATCTGTACCTAACCGTAATTGGAGATACTACCACTGTCCAACTACTCCCACTACTAGACTTACCGACTTGAACCGAATCACTGCTAGTCGACATAGCAGTAGCAGCCCTACGGTAGAGGGCGAAGGGCTTCCTTAAGGTCCTCTTCAGTCTGCCTCCTCGGTTAGTCTCCTTACGCATCTTGTCGTGCTTACACAGACCGAAGTCGCCTAGTCTCACATCACCATTCTCGGTCAGGAAAACGTTCTGAGACTTAATGTCCCTGTGTATCACATTTTGTGAATGCAGATATTGCACAGCCTGAAAACGATGGGGACAATTTGCACAATTGTCCAACCTGAAGCGGCACGCTACACTGCCCTTAAGGAGACCGGTGTGGGGAAATGTATACATCGTCAACCACATATGTTGGTGACAATATTGAAAATCTGAGGAAATTCTGGAAAATTCTCATTGATTCCTGTACAATTCGACACGGATTCGTATGTAAACTCCTATAATCAATAGGGCAACTCTCAAGCTCAGCTGAGGAAAGCGCACATATCTGCAACACTGTAGGAGACACTCACGATCAATCAACGCTACCATAACTAGTACCCTATTACTACCTGACACAGCTGCTGAAACCACGCGAGCACTGTTGCTTCTGTCAGTTGACCAAAGTTCTTTTCAACTTGATGCTTCACATCACCTACCTCTGGCTCTACCAATAATCATCAGCTCTCATAATTCTATTACCACTAGAGCAATACTCCATAAGAACAAAGAAGAAGGTCTTCGCTCCCCACAGTGTATACTCAATGTGGATAAAGTCGTCCACATAGGAGACTATATACCTACCATTACATATGACCACCCTCACAGTACTAGTTCTCATACCTATGGTGCAAGCGAGCCAATTCCTTAGCCTCGGAGGAGAAGCTGTCAGCCTCTGTTACATTCGAGACCTTACACAGTCTTATAATGGACAGAAGTCGACTACGGGCGGCTCACCGGTATTTTCTTAGCTGCGAATAGCTCTTTACTGTGATCCGGAGATGCGACCAAATATACCTCCCCAAAGCCGCCACTACCTAAGGATAGCTGAGACCATCCCGGAATCAGGCCGCCGCCGCCGCCAAGTGGGCGTCATATGATTCGACGTAGAAGAACCAAACCCGTACACAACCACTGATTTCGTATAGGCTCGAGAGTACTACCCAGTGAGTGGCTTACCCAGCCGTTTGATCAGCTGATAGTGTCCACTGCATAGTCTACATTTACACCTAAAGTAGATAGCAGCAGTTTTTCACGCAAAGAGCAGGGAGCATTACGGCATTACCTCTTCCTACACAGTAGCTTCACAGAGTAAGCACAGCCCATGAGGCACATGCCAGTAACCAAAGCTAGAGCTGCAACTTCCGCAGCATTCACTCCTCTCACGGAGCCTCTATCATTATCCTCCATCGTACTGCTGACGAACCTCTAGTTCTTACCAAGTGCAGATTCAACTTACCTGCTCGCGGTGGGTTCCTCGTGATGGGCAGGCACTCCCCCGCCACATAGAGAGTTGCACACAGAATCCGCAAAGTCAGGACCTACAACGGCTACAAGTCTACTACTACTACTACTACTACTACTACTACTACTACTACTACTACTACTACTACTACTACTACTACCCAGCTGGAAGCCAGCACCGGCGCTGTCTCCACTGGAAGGACCCTTGACCATAGGTGCAGATGGTGGCAAGCCAGCTGCACAGCGGTACGGCTGGGGCCTAGCCTGAGAATACCATTGCAGGATACGACGATCAAATCAAAGCCCCCAGGTTCAGCTACCAGAACATCGTCATCTACTGGGGAGCCATCGCCTCTCGAGGAGGATGAGGTCGATGACTCAGCGCTGACCAGAGCAACAGTGGACTGGACTGCTGCGAGGGCCGCAAGCCCGATGGCCACGTGCCACCTTAGGCTTGTCAGCGACTGTCCTCCAAGTGCCGTGAAGGTGGAGGTTTGACCGATCCTGTCGTGGTCAGTCATTGGCGAGGATGTAAAACCTAGTGAGCCGACCCCAAAAACCAGGATATCCCTCACTCCTCCAACTCAATAGCTCCACACTGCTGAGACAACAATATATTGCACGGAATAGCATTAGTTGTATTGCTGTTAGAAAACTCCATCGTAGTACTCTAGCTACTCCTCAGGAGCCTCTCCTTAGTGGTCTGTGACAGACGAATGCAAAGCTATCTAACGACAAGTTGAGGGCAACTCGTAAGCTCGCCCTCTACCGTAACCATACGTAGAGGGCTTATTACGAAATACTATGCCTTACCTGCAGTAACCTCTACGGCAACGTAGCGTGCATCGAAGCCTCATCGAGAGGCTATCACCAGCATCCAGTGCTAGCTGTACCTGGGAGGAACTCAATAAAAGAACACCCTTTCTCTGTAGGCTTCCTCTATGCTAGCGTATCCCTGTCTAGATCTGATAGGCACCTTCTTCAGCGCTATTCTCTCTACCTCTACGCGGATTTTCCATACCACTAACCAAAGATACTCGCCCTGGACAAATACGGCAAGGGTTGAGCTGCTGCTTGTCAGACCTTTCCGAGGTCGGAACAAGCATAGCCCCCTTGAGAAAGTCACGATGGGCCGTCCGAATGACCTTCCTCCTAGTAACAAACTCATCTGCATAGCAGTACGAATGTCACGAAATTGACCATACGTGTCGAAATGCCCGTTGAGCTCTAAAACTATCTCCTCTGAGCAGTTTCCGAAGCGTCGAGTAGTAATAACGATGAAACTTGCCCTTAGGTGTGATGCCTCTCAGCAATAAATGCGAAGAGCTTTCCCTCATCAGCCCTCTTGATCTCAACCCAGTTACCTCCGTAACTCAACTCAGACTAACAATGTGTTTCAATGACCGAAGAACAAAGGCAGGTCAGACTTCATATCGGTTAAAGCAGAACAGAATACGCACTGGGGGCATTGATCCTTGCAACACCGCACCAGGAAAATTATACGCCTAAGAATAGCGATTTAGTATAGTGACGACCGATGGGGCCGATAGTTGGGAAGTGATTTAGCATACAAGTAGCACGAATCATACCTTCCCATATTCGACCATAACTCTAACATAATGTAAAGTAGCACCAGATGACATAGGTTGATAGTTAAGGAGGATAAGCATCTTTAAGTAGGTGGCTCTCCTTCAAACAGAATTCACGCATCCTCTACCTTGCGGGCTAAAGCCCAGTGGTATGCACATCACTTGTGTCTTCTTCCAGGTGCGAAAGTAGTTTTAAGCGTTCTATAAGGTCTTTGATCTCGTTGAAATTGTCTGTTGTAGATGTGGAACATGAGGACCCCATAGCCGCAACAGGAGGAGGAGGAGAGGCTCTGACCTCTGTCGAAAGTTTAGGACACTGCCGACGAGGAACCCTAGTCAGCATCGGTTTCTCGTTCTTAATAGGGGACTGGCGGGAAACAACAGTGTGCGGCGGAGCCGACAGTAGCCCTAATCCAACACCACTATAGCAACCACTCTCATTAGCAAATGATAAAATACTTCGTTGTTCTTCAAAGTAATCCGCATAGGTTGGGTTATCGAACCGAGCGAGAATCTGCTTCTCCATGCTGTTGTCGTTGACAGCGGGATCCACCCTTAACTCAGCCAAAGTATGAGCAAAGGCACAGCCTGGATCCACGCAACCGACCTTTGTACAGAGCTTTGTCTTAGAAAGATCGGGCTTCCTGTTGAGCTCGTCAACCGAATGGGCGAACGCGCATAATAGTCCGTGCATACATCGGCCACGGATGAAATACTTGCAAACCTGAGTCTTGTACATTCGCTTCTTGATAGGGGACCACTCTTTGGTCATCTCAACAAGCTCAACATCGACCAGACTAGGCGCTGTTCCAGGAGGAGGAAGCCTCATTATTAGATGGAAGTTTATCGTAAAGTCCGCTGAAAAATCTCTGAACACAATACGGGTGACAACGAGTTGGGTCATAGCACGCATGCCTGTCCCGTGACGCGACGTGCTTGGATTTTCACGGAGTCTTCCAAGACTCCGAAAAACTCGCAGATTCTCAGTCGTCATGTCAATGATATGAGGTTGCTGACACGCTCTGAGACTGATTGAGGTCGTACTCGTCCCTCTAGGTGTGCAGTAGATCACCACTGATAGTTCATCTCATTGGAATCTACTACTTAGACATTTCAAGGCGCCCAATCCTTGGCCAATTCACGTTCTTGGTTTGAGTTCAACTTGACTCGATTTCCCCCTCATAATTCCATAGGACTGTGATGAGGGGCAAAGTAGAACGGTTTAGACATATGCGTTTTCATTACCAGTGCGATAAGGGAAGAGCAAGTGATTGTAAGAGTGCAAGAGTGTTCGCTACTCGTTCGGTCGAGCACAACTTCAACTAGGTGGATTCGTTAAAGATGCACCTAATTCTAACCAGCTATGGATCATTGTGGAGGACAGGACAGGTACTATTAGAGGAACATACTCAGCTAGGTTGGACATAGTGTAGTCACCCTACTCGTGTACAATGACGACAGCCAGTGGTTTTGGGAGGTATGTCGCCTGATCAAATGACCAGCACCATGAGTCGTTGCACAGTCTTTTAGTACTCTAGAGAAAATAGAAACGCTCGATATGTCTTTACCATCACAGTTGCCCATTCACTGAGGATGTATTAGATCTGATCGTTGCTGCAGGTTCCTATATAGTTTGTTCCTCGCCCGTGGTGATCTTGCTGAGTAGGCCGGCATTGATAGTGTTGATATATGTTCGCTTCCCTCAGCTGAGCTCGGGAGTTTCCTCATGAAATATAGTAGCTTACTCACGACTGGGGTACAAGTGTTCAGAAATCAATAAAAAAATTTTCAAAATCTTTTCAGCCACCAACACATGCGGTTGTTGACCATATGCATATTTTCCTACACTGGGTATCGAAGTTCCCATCGATAGTTTTATAGTGTTTCAAATCTAATGGCCGAAGCCTCCTCATCAGCGACGACAGAAGGCCTCTCAACAGCCGAACTTGATCGTACATCTCCTCCTCCTACCCAAATGGACGACACCATCGATATATTCCTACGTCCCGAGTATCGTCACTTGTCCTTCGTTAACAAGGACCAGGCCGAGTACAGTAACCTCACCTACTGGCAACGTATCAAGATGAACCCACAAGTCATCTTCGAATCATGTATCGGTCGAGCCGTGTCCTCCTACTTCATGGGAGGGGCTCTCGGTCTCCTAATGGGTGGTTTCTTCCACACGATGCAACCCATAGATGTCGATGCGAGTCTCCCATTCCGTCAACAGGTTCGCCAGGCGTACAAAGGCTTCGGACAGGCATCCCTCTCGATGGCAAAAGGATTTGCAGTGGTACTACTAATTGGGTGCGTCGCTCCGCGAAAATAACTTCTGTTTTGCTTTATTTCAGTGCGGAGCCGTGTACTCGGGCGTTGACTGCTTTGTAGAGCGTGCCAGAGGATCTCATGATCTCAACAACTCTATTTATGCTGGTTGTCTCACTGGTGCCGCTCTAGCTTACAAAGGAGGGCCTCAGGCTATGGCAATGGGCTGTGCTGGTTTTGCCGCTTTTTCTATCGTTATCGATTCCTTCATGTCCACTGGCGATAAAGATGTCCATAAATGGTGAATGTATAGTTGAAATATCTCTACTGTTTCTGTGCAATATTACCACATTCTGTTTCTCCTTTTCGTCCGTTTGCGTTTCTCCAACGATTAACCAACGCGACCATTATAGCAACCATGACAAATTAGGGCTTGGTAAAATTGGCAATGGAAAAACACGCCAGATAACAATACTAGGAAGTGGCACCCATGCAGAGGCGTCGCCCCGTTCAAAGCATGTCTCATGAATTGATATGTCATTGGTCTAAGTCCTCATCCAGCTGCGTGTCGAATGCAGCTCAGTATTACCAGTAGAGACATCATCCCTACGGACTCCCCCGAAAGCCGACTGTATCACCTGAACAGAGGATTGCCTCGTGGTGTCGTAAACTGGTGATTACACTATTCGATGACTGACTGCTCCGCGGGGTTCGCGGCTTCCGGCTCTGAATACTAGCGATCTGGTGAGGCCAGGGTGCTGGTGAACTAACCTTAATTGCTCTAGTGCGGTGGAAGTCTCGAGCAATAGCCAAGGCCTGGTCCATGCACCCGCATACCTCAGCCATACGCAGTAGTTGTTGTACCGTAGCACTCTTGAGTCTAGCGATGCTGTTACATACCTTATAGTGCAAACAACAACGATGAGATATGAGGGTGGTCAGAGGCTCCTACGGCCCGCAGACCAGGGTTGTTGCGAAGACTCTGAGAGAGTATAGCCTTCAAACGACTCCTGCCAGCCTCCCCGAGTCGAATCTTGGGGGGCTCAGTCGGCTACATGAAAAACCTGGATAGACACCTCGAGATGGACTAGATAGTACCTCGTCTGCGATCAAGTTTTCGGCCCAGGAGGGAACCTTCCGAGACGGGGATCCTTGACGGCGGCCCTACGATAACCCCTTAGCAGTGCACGTGGAAAAGTTCCCTACCATTTCCGACTTAGTCTGGGTCCTCCTGGTTGACGGTACTAGATAGTGCATTCGCGGAGATCCTGTCAAGCCTTCCCACGAGGTAGACTTGGGCACACCGCCGACTGAGTTGGACTCGCGATGGACTGAACAAGTCAGTATAGAATACCATCATAGCGAGGAAAATCGCATCCTACTGGGGAGGCTGAAAACACACGACGGCTGATCAAGTCGATTCGAAGCATCCCGGCCTTGCGCTGAGAGTAGGGAGCTCTGCTACCTAGCAGCAAATCTTATGTTTTACCGAATGCTTCATTGAGTGCATCCAAGACCGCATCGTTTGACGTAGAAGAGCTATATCCTAACGATTCATCTTCAAATATGCGGTTATGATGGTTATGTGGCAAAGACAGAGACACCTGAGGGCATCCGACACCACACTGCATATTCAGTGACGATAGTGCTCACCTGTTTCGGAGAATCCGTCCTGGTCTCGCCAAATCGGGAGAAGCGGATGTACTCGGGTTTGCGACGGACTCGATCCCTTTTGGAACGGCAGAGTGAGTATAGCCCTCCGTCCTGGTCTCGCCAAATCGGGAGAAGCGGATGTACTCGGGTTTGCGACGGACTCGATCCCTTTTGGAAACGGCAGAGTGAGTATAGCCCTCCGTCCTGGTCTCGCCAAATCGGGAGAAGCGGATGTACTCGGGTTTGCGACGGACTCGATCCCTTTTGGAAACGGCAGAGTGAGTATAGCCCTCCGTCCTGGTCTCGCCAAATCGGGAGAAGCGGATGTACTCGGGTTTGCGACGGGCTCGATCCCTTTTGGAGACGGCAGAGTGAGTATGCCTTAGGCCACCAGCAAAGGCAGGACTGCATGCCGTTTCGTCCCCCGATAGCGTCCGTTGTCGCTTACTACCTGGCATGGGATTTAGGTAAGCGAGAGATTAAGGAGTTCATCTCAGATGTCACTACTATCCCTCTTATCACTACCGATACCATCCCTATTATCTTCACTACTGCTACTACTACTACTACTACTACTACTACTATTACTTGGTTCAATAGTATATGATAGTGGATGTTCCGTAGATGGCGATGATGATGATGATGATGTACCTGATCATTTGCGCCATACTAGCGATAAAAATTAGGTAGAAAGTCCACAGCCGCGGCTCGAACTTGCGGTCAGCGGGTACTGGAGGATACGAGTAACCTATTCCCCACTCGAGTAATGTTCCATGTTCTGAATCGATTGTAGTGTGGTAAGAGCAGCTAAAGCGGCGTTGGGTCTGAATGCGGACTCATAATGGGCAAAATATTGTCGTGAGATGCTCACCGTGCAGATCCCCAACCATCATAGTTCATTTCGAAAGCATTAGGTACACGAGACATATACAGTAGCAGGATGGTGGTTCAACGATGACGTCATTGTGAGTTTGCGCCAACAACCGCGCTCGCCATTGTGATCGATATCACAGGCTTTTTGTTTCGACAATCCCCTCGTTCATGCTCAGTCTGACCGTTTCAGGGTTGGCCGGTTGGTATCAGTGCCTATCAATAGCAATAGACGCGAGTGCGAGGCGCTCCAGCTAGTGTGTATTATCGAATAGAATGAGTTGGGTTCCTCTAGTGTCTACATGGAATATGAAGGTGGAGGACGGAGATCGTCATCGTAAAGGGATGCCACAGTTGAGATGGCTTCATCTTATAGTCGTGCACTTACAGAGGTCTATAGCACACGAGTATATGGGCTCAAATGATGACTCATAACAAGGTGCGGTGATGTCACTGAGAAGTCGTATGACTATCGACCCGTGGGCCACTAAGGGACTCTTGTGGGTGGATGTTTATGACTGGGCTGGGGGGGTAGCGGGGTTTATGATGGGACCATTCAGCGTTGTACTTTACTTTCGGGGCATTGCCCTCTTTCTTTTTATCAATCTGAATGAGCGGCGGCGGCCCCCAGCCGCCTTTCACAAGGCAATTTTCTGCATCGTCAGCCTCTAAGGGGGTGTTCGAAAACGGTGGTCAACCTAATGCAGTCAACCTACAACAGCAACAACCGGCATCCCAGCAGGAGCAGTCATCACTAACCCATATGGGAGGGCACTACTACCCACCCCCTCCCCCACAGAGCTTCACTGGCAGCTCTGATATGGGTGGTAGTGGGGGGTACCCAGCAGCGCCAGGTGGAGTGTATGCAGTACCTGCCCCTGGAGGCGGGCCTTTCATGATGGCTGCATATCCGATGGGAGCCTATGGACCCAACAGCGGCATGGTACCATCAATCATGGGCAATGTATTGCCCCCCACTATGACCGGTCAGCAACAACAGCCACCACAACAGGGAGGTCCCGGGTTCAATCCCAGGGGGATGCAACAACACAGTAGTAAAGGATTGGGACCGTGGCCCATACACTGGCTCTCAGGGCCACCGCACAATAGGCGTGGAGGGATGCCGGGGAACTCGAAGCAGCAGATTGTCCATTTCGACGAGTCCTCAGCAGCAACTGAGACCGTTGATCGAGCCATCGTCAGTGCATTGAAACAGCCTCAGCATAGGCGTTTGCTCCTAGAGGTGGAGCCTGCTATAAAAAGAATGGTAGGGGCCGGAGAAGGGAACAATGGGGAATTACTAGTGTCCATTGTAGATAACGGAAACCGATTCGGAAAGGTTGAAGTTGACGAACCCTTTAGGAAAATATCAGAGGATGCTGATACATAAGCTCGGGGACTATTATAGGTAGGTCACATTCCCGATATTAGCAGTAGTAGTGTACTAACATCAGGATGGATCGTGAAGTTGACTACACGAAGGGATCTGAGATGAGTACAGTAACCCTCATACGTACCGAGAGGACGTGTGTGCCCAACACGATATTGCAAGAGCTATGTCGGACTGCATTGGAGGCAGCGGAGATGGCTGACGGAAGTGGCCATTCCTGGCCGTATGTGTCCAGACAACAACAAGAGTCTGGGCATCGTCAGCAACAGGAACAGTACGATGTTCATGGAGGGCCTCCACATGATGACACTCGGGCTCGCTCGGATGAGGGGGTGCTGGAGGTGAGTCGCCTAGTGTTGGAGTTGTCTCTATTTGGGATTTTTTAGCAACAAGGAATGGAGCACTGCGCTGATGAGAGAGGGACTTGCAGTGAAGGGGGCGCCTCAGGTGGAGGCACCCCATCAGAGACGGCAGAGGATCCAACAGCAGCGACAGGCATCATACCAACGAAGGGTCGTAGTGTGAAGATCCTCAGGAGAGGCCCCGGGTCGAAGGGCAAGAATATGAGGGGGGCTACTAGGGGGGCTGAGGACGAGGAGTCTTCGAGTGATGAAGGCGGCAAGCATTCGGAAGCTAACCTCTTACATAATTTCCCGGTGAGAATCAGTATGGTCATTTTTGGGCCTGATTTGTATCTTTACAGGTCGACCAACGGGAGGAGCATTATAATAAGATACGTGCTAAGATCTTCCAGGAGGATGATGGTACACCATTAGTGTGCTCTAACGAGGAGCTGGCAGCTATGGAGGGTGCACGCAAGCACATACCTAAGGGCACTGACTTGGATGATCCAGAGTAGGATGGTAGCATAGGCTAGTGGTCCGGCAAATGTTGTTCTTTTTAGTTATAATCGTCAAGCCGTATCCATCATACCGCAGCTGGGTAGAGTTCAGAAAGCCCCTCCTACGTTGATGAGCGACCCAGCTGCCTATAATGCGGAGTTTCCGGCCCTCGGAGGAGGAGTAGGAGGAGGGTACGATGATGAAGACAGGAATAAGGAGGGTCGTCGTAGGGGTGGTAACAATAAGAGGCAACAACAGCAATTCCAACAGCAACAACAGCCATACACCGGGAACACGATGTACCCACGCGGCATCCCGGTATCTCCTATGATGCAGTTTTCCCATGGCCCAGGGGTGTCTGCTGGTGCTGCCACTACCACAGCCGATGCAGCAACGATTGCCGCCTTCCAGCAGGGGTATATAGCTGCGACCATGGCTGCTGCTGCTGCCGCCGCCCAGCAACAAGGCGTTGCTTGGAATCCTCCCCCACCGCCTCCGATGAACTTTCCCTCTCCATCATCACAACAACAACAAGATAGTCTACTCCCGAATCCAGGTGGGACGGCACCGACGAAGTTCCCGGGCCACTATCAGCAGCCGTCGGGAATGCCATTGGGCACTACTGGAGGACACAGTGAAGGAACCCAACAGCAACAATGGGGAGGTGCTGTTCCTTCACCACGAAAGGGTGGTAGAGGGGGATCCTATCATGTGGGTTCACGAGGGGGTAGAGGCAATAGGGGAGGAAGAGGAGCACCCACTGCTGTTGCTGCTTCTAGTCACCATCATCACCAGCAAGGTGGTAGACAATCTTACGACGATACAACAGGCTCACTGGTCCCCCTAGGTGACCACGGTTGGGGTCACCAGCAACAAAATCGTCAACAACATCAACAACAAGGCCAACAGCCACAGTCTGATTTCCTCCTCCTCCGACAACAACAGGAGCAGCTGACTCGGGTGTTGGAGCGCCGATCTGGTCTGCATACGACTCAAGACACTCAGAGGGGCGACGGGGAGGCAAAGGAGGCTTCTCAAGTGAATGATGCGGATCGTCATAGTCCTTCTCTAGCAGAGGGACCGTCAACTACACACATCGTCGATGGTGGTGGTGGTGGTGATTCGACACTCTAAGGTATTTGTCGTCCTTAATAGAGCTGTGATCACCGCTCCCTATGAATCGTTAGTTATAAGTATCTAAACCCCATTTCCGGATGGCATTGACACTTCTTCTTCTTCTTCTGCCGCCGCCGCCGCCGCCGTTTTTCGTGCTTTAACTTGCTATGGTTGCTTTGGTCGTCTCGGCACTGAAAGGCCCCGCTTATCCTATCTCTGTTGATGCCCCTACTACTACTACTACTGCCATCCTGTTGATGCTGATGTCTCTATCTACGGTACTCCTGCTAAGCCTGTCCCAGAAGCGGCAGCAGGTGATTATGATTATCATTATCATCATAGTCATCATCATCATAATGCACTATTTCCTACTTACCATTATCACCAACAACACATTTTGTTGAGTATTGTTGTTAATCCAGTGGTAGCTACTGTGAATAGGGCCTTCTCCTCACTATGCCCGCTAAGGAAACAGCACAAGAAGGGTCGCCAGGGGCCGCCGCCCCCATCACCACTATGGAGGACGTTGAAGACTTCCTTCGAGCTTTCCGACGGGAAATGAATTGTAAACTAGAGTCTATTCATAGGAAGGTAGCTACACATAAACAACTATATAATTGAGTACATCAAAAGTTGTAAATCGTCATAGTAAGGGTGTGCCTGTCGTCGGGTGAGCCGCATCGCCCGCCTGTTGTCGTCGAGGAAGTGCTGCTAGCCTCTGTCGGGAGTAGTAGTGCATTTGGAAATACATGTATGGTAGTGGAACTGCATCATGTCTTGTAGCTAGTGAGATGTGGCCAAAAGATGGTATTGGTAGCGGCAGGTTGATATGCTGTTGAAGCACCAAGATCTGTGTTACTCGTCACCAGCATCATCAGCTAGTTGGCCTCATCATATGGTTTCCCCTGAAGGACCACGACAGATCGTTCTCGGTGAGCTCATCATAAAGTGCTCTGCCGCAGTACCGTTGGCGAGATGGGTCCCGGAGGCGGAATTTTTCGCCCACTTATTTAGGGAACCGAGAGTTGCTTAGTAGTATCGTCATTTTCCTACACCAAGATGATGTAATGCATTTGGGAGCAGCCTCGAGGTTGACAGCTGTGCCGTTGGGCCTATTATCCTATGACGGTTGCTTCGGGCAGCGACCTCTCCTCCTACTACTACCACATATCAGGGTACATCTGGAAAAGGGTTGTTCGCCTGAGCCGGGCCTGTTTTGCATTGTTGCAGTGTCAGGTCCCATCACAGAACAGCAGCCGTTTCCCCTTCCAAAGGGTGGAGTGGCAGCAAGTCCGGTCGCTGGTTATCAGTTCGACCTCCTTGGTGTGGATCAAGATGCACGCTGTCGCCACAGGACGGACGTTCGCCCTCGAGGCTCCGGTGGACTTCCGACTTGCCCGTTTGCAGCGTATATGTATCAGCCCCGCTACTCGTAAGAAGGACACCACACAAGCTCAGAGGGCGATGCAGGTGCACCATCCTCATCACAAGTGCTTCTCCTTTTCCCGACATGTAGGTGCTTGTACGCTGTGTACTCACGCCTGCTGCTAGGTCGCTGAACTCTATTTGGGCACATGTCCCGCCTGAGGTTGGCCACTGCTGCACAAGTGGTCCCACTCGAAGTCTTGCGGTTTTAGGTGAATTGTGAGTCGGCATTGACGGCATTGGAGTCGCCACATAACCCCCTCATCTATCTGGGGTTCCTCCCAGACGCTGGCCTGTGGAACGTTGGGTCTGATATGCCCTCGTGGCCCCTCAGTGCACGCTGGCTCGAGCCGATAATCACCAACTCTCGAGCGTCCTTGAGGTCGACCAACCAGTGGCGCTCGCGAGGGCTACACTCTTGTTAGGCGCATCCAGCTCAGCGGCGTCGTATTGTCTAATACAACTTGGCTCAATGGTTGTACAGTGAACTACGTGGATGCAGCGGTGCAGGTGGCCATACTCCCTGCATAGTCCTATTGAGTAGCATCCTCCTCAGGCAATGGCTAAGCTGGAAGTGTTGGTAAGTCTCTCGTTAATCCTCCAATTCCCGGACGCCAGGGGTGGCACTGTTGAACCAATGTCTCTGTTACGACTGCGCAAGGCCCATCCGAACCATGTCTATCTGTGCCAGGCTCGCCAGGGGAAGTTCGAAACACTGCTGAGGTGAGCCGCACTAACAAGGATCTTCATCGCTGCTAGCTCTGACATTGGACACTTCATTTTGTTACTCGAGTACTTCTCGGATGGCGCTCAGTCTCACTTTGGGAGCGGCTCGTGATGAAGAACACAACTTGGAAACTGATCGCGCTCTGGGCCATTACAGCCGCATACAGCAGTGGTCCGGCAGGAGCGTCTACATGTCGGAGATGTACCGACGATTCATAGGGAGACTCAGACCATCGTTGTTGCTAGGAGCCTCTTCCTACCAGCCGGGAGCGATATCGTCCCTGGAAGTGAGAGGACAGCAATTCAGAGAGTTCCGTCATCTCTACTCCTTCCCCGCTGGTGAGTGGGAAAATATTCTGATGCCTGAGAGAAAGACGTGCTGCAGGAGCGAGCTGCCACAGCCTACTCAGCAACTGTGGGACGAAGTCATATGTCTAGCAGTGAAGCGGTTGCACGACAAAGTGAAGAGCCGAGCACAGAAGTCGCTGGCTCCAGTGACCACTGAGCTACGACGAGCCATCGCTAGGCAAGATTAATGCTACCATATGCTTTTCGCATGTTTCATCTGTTTGTGAAGGATTTGATTTGCTCATAGGAAGGGTAAAAATGACTATTGAATGCGCCTAGCATACTCGGCATGGCAACGCGAGATCTCTCATCTGCCAGGATAGGATGCGAGACCAATCCGTAGTACACAAACGATGACTCAGCTTGTTCTCCACCCCTTTCCGAGCTAAGGAGTAACTCCATCAATCGACTAAGTTATGCGACTGAGACATATCCACAACACGGAGGAGGTTCCATAATAATATCCCTTAAGTATTATGGTAACCTGCTTCAGCCTATCGAGGCATCTGGGACGCCTTTCGCGGGGGTACGAAAATTCGACCTTCGGAAAGGATCCCTACTGCACATACATCGAATAGGCTTATCTAGATTGGCCGTTGTAGGTCGAGAGAAGCCGACCCCTGAAGTGAATTGTGGCGAAATCTCTCATATGCGGCGCTCTGTGGGTTTTGCACTGTTGTTCGTATGAGAGGTATTTAGTTCGATCTGATGCCCTCAGAGAAATCATCTCTACTGGAATAACACAAGATAACTTCAATCAATCACAGCATGCAAATAGATGTGCAGGGACATATGCAGGGACTGCATGTGCAGGGTCTTCGAGGGAATTATACGTGACACGGATAAGTCAACAATTATAGTGTAATACGCTCAGACAAACTTCGATGATTGACCGGTATGGAAACTATTAATGATCTTCAAGAGGCGATAACCATAGCCCGAGAGTTGTCGTTCGGGGGCTATAGTGTCACCTTCAATGACGAGACCCACGCGCTTGCACAACTCAGGGACACCTACAAGCCATGAGTAAGACCAATGATCACAATGATCCTACAATCAGGCCTGCGCGTGACACAAGTCGATAAGAGTAGACTTCTGTTGCGTTTGTTCGCTAATCTGAGGAGTTCATCGGTTAAAAACGAAGGGAATTTGCCACGACGCTCACGCGTCTAGACGGAAGAAGCTTACTACTGTGTATTATAGCATCAATGAATCGGTCCGAGTGGTCTCCTGCAGGGAGTGCGTCCACAACAGCTTCAAGCAATGTCAAACAGGGAGGCTCGCATAACTTTGTTTGAAGCACTTTGAAGATCTCGACAATGTCATCGGGACTGGACAAAACGAGATCAGCGGTCATTGACCAATGCAAACCTACGGATCTTGTCTCTCGACCTTCAACTGACTCGCCATTTCCAGAACAACTTTCGATCCAGCAACTTCTCGAGCGTTCTTGGACAAGTCTGGAGCGATGACCAGTTCCTCCAGGAAGATGCAAACATCATGTCTGAAGTAGCGGGTGATGCATTGCAACCTGGGGAAAACCGATAGCGCTACGGGTCAAGGTGATGGCACAGTTTTTCAAGGAAATAATTCCCACAACGGTCAGTGGCCAGCATGCGGATAGAAGCCCGACACTCCTCCTCCCCGAATGATTGGATCTCTTCAGAAGTAGCTTGCCCGGACTTGAGATACTCCTAAAGCGATAACTGATCATCCATGTGAAGTAGCGAAGCCATACCTGCAGCAGTCGGGAGCCTACGCCTCCTACAGCCAGCGAAACCACCCGGCCGCCAGTGATGTATTCAACTGTCTTCTCCTTTGGGTGGGATAGGCGTTATTGCCACTCCTCGTACATTCGCCATCTCGGTCCCTGCGCTGAATGGACCTCACCACAGTCCTGGTAGTGGGAGCAGGATCATGCTGCTTCTGCTGTGGCTCTGTGTCCATCTTACAATTACGATTCGTAACTATATGTAGCGATGCGTATGACGTACTGGTGCGTCCACTTGGTACATTAGGAGTCGTAGCTTACGAACTAGTGGACGCATCAGCGCAAGGATTCCGGTTTCAACTGACTAGTGAAGATCTGTCTGGTGACGTGTAGCTGGCCTAGAGCCCGTGCTTGCTGCTGTAGCAGAGCAAGCTGTTGGGCGATTTCGTACTCGTTCCTGGCTCAAAGTTTCGCGATACCATCGAACGGCAGTGACCATAAGCTAGACAGATGCGAACGCCACAGAAGGACCCGGAGGTTCACATTAGAAGGACAATGCCCAACGTATCTAGCCGCCGGATCGATCATCGTCATCTCGCTAGGCTGCCACTGTGCTGTCTGGCCAGTTTGACCAGCCGAGGTTCTCTCGAGGAACCTGGCGAGCTCGGAGGTAGCTGTTCGGGAACCACATACCGAGGAGAAGGCGATAGGCAATTCAGTGATGCCACACCCAGACTGACTCAGGGGCTTGGATAAGGGGCCGGAGGAGCATTCCTCCGAGTGACTACTGCTAGAGGACTCCTCCCAACTCGATAGGGAGCTCTCAGACAGAGACCGGTGACCTCCAGGGTTGAGGTGTGAGTCAGCAGGAAAGAGTGGCGCCATAGACAGGGCATGGGCCGTGTCCAGCAGACCGTATCTGCTGCACGTTCGGCCTCGTGCGTCAGTCATAAGCCCGAGGCCAAGGGTGATATCATCAGGGACTCTGCCATCACTCATTTGCGTTAGGAAAGGCAGGGCTCTATCACCGTATAGGAGTAGCCCTGGAGGATGGTGTTCGCGAACCTGCGGCTGGGCATCGAATAGGAATTGTGAAGAGTACTCAAAGTAGGAGCGGGGATCCATGGGGATCCTATGCGATAGATCGGGAGGTCTTAGAATGGGCCCGGCGTCGAGGCAAAAGGGAAGGAGGATGTATGGTATGGCCAAATATACCATTTCTGGTTCGTTACTCTCACCGCCAACTGACATGAGGAAAAGCCCTCGGGAGGAACCCTCCTTGAGGATTATCACGGAGCGCGTCCCGCTTCGCTCGAGTGTTGGCTGCAGGAGAGAGCATTTTTGATGACATGAATTGACTACTACTGAACGCAGCTCATGCAAAGACTTGCGCACCCCACTGCAAGGGAGGGCCACCACTCACATTAGGAGTCTACATTCATCAGTACGAGGTGGTATCGAGAAGAGCTGTAAGTATGCAACAAACAAGTCAATAACGTAGAACAATAGTAGCTTGAGCAGCAACAGCAGCATGTGATGGGAGCCGACCTCAGCCGAGATGCAATGGACGGTCAGCTGCATCACCTCTCGATGCCGCCGACGCTGGAGGCTGATGTCGGAGTATGAGGAAGCTGGACTCTAGGGGACGCCAGCGACCCACATCGATCTGACAAAAGACACCACTAAGCCCAGTGGTGTCACCAGCTGTAGTGTCACCATTGTATCATCCGTTCTAATAAATGTACACGAAGCAGTATCATAATGGAGTAATCGCCAACGTGCCACTTCAGCTTCTGAGATCTCTAGCTTTGCACCTGCGATAGCAGCAGCATTCGATGGCCCCTTGGGTGGTGAGACGAGAGATCCACTCACTTATTCGTCGCTGCAACTCAGACCCCGATATTTCACCCTTAGGTAATTGTACGAAAAATATATGACCAAACAATGAACGTCCATTACGGGTGGCGTGGCACCTGAGGGGAACTAGCATCGCCAGTTCGGGTTAGGACAGGCAGGAGGCAATGGCAACGGCGGCGGCGGCCCGATGAGGTACACGGGGATCACTTCTTCACCGCCCTTCTTCTCAACACTCTCTTCAATTCGGAGGTAATTCCCTCCCACTCGGCCGGAGAAAATGTCGCTCCTCCCAGCACAGGGCAACTCCGTGGCTCGAACGTTTTCGAAGGTCTGTGAAGTGGGGTCTTCCGAATCCAATCTGACGGGTTGGTCGACACCAAGGATGGCGATAGAGCCACTGACAAGCTTACATCATCAAGATCTTCGATTTCGGATCGTCCACCGTCTCCTGGGAAGCCGCAGAGGTGACCATAGCTCTGATGCCAGACTTCAGACCAAACTTTACCTGGCCGCCAACGAGGCGTTCGATCGATCGCGAGTTGTCACAAAAGGTACTTCCGATCCCTTCAAGGCATCCAAAGCTAGACGGATGACGTCAGTGAGTAGGTCGGCGGGCTTGTACCAGACTACTGTGGCCGCTACTTCCCTCGGACCATCGAACCTGAACGAACACCATACTAGTAAGTGATGGTCTATAAGCCTTACGCCCTGCACATCATTGGCATCAACTCTGGACTGGCATGCTCTGGTTTACGCAAGAATACCAGATGCAACTCGGGATGTCTGAATGTAACAACCATGTGCTGGTAGAAGGAAACGCTCAAGGGAGTACGCGAAGGGCTCCAGATGGGAGAAGGCTCCACCGTGGTCTCCTTCTGCTAGTGTAGCCAAATCTCGGCAGATGCAATCATCCAAGGCGCTGCTCTCACCGGAGTCGAGGGGTACGAAAAACGGGTCATAGGTGTATCTAGTGGAGTGGTCTCCGGTGCTGAGCAAAGCCCTAGGGTAGTTCTACATGTATAGGAGATGTTCGCCGAGCTCTTTTGAAGAGCTAGGTCTAGAGAGAACAATTCATTGAGTAGATGCAGATAGTGGGCTCACAGGAATTGAGACGGCTTGCTGGAGTCTCTGTTCGCTTCTACTAGATCCATCACAGCTTGTTGCAGTGGGATACGTATCTACAGTTGCAGTGTAACACACGACGAGGAGTAGCACGCCTACATCAACCATCGCCTCGTGTGTAGTGTACCGAGGAGGCCCTTCACTCGATGCTGTCGTGTCAACGAAGTCCACACCCGGGCCATGGAGACGAGTGAAGGGGTCGTGGGCGAAAAAGGTGACGGGCGCTGAGTGCTTGAGGGACTCAAAATACTGGCCAAGCTGAGAACATGCACCCACAATGCCTAGGAGTAGGAGCGGAATAGTCTACCGTGAAGACTCCTTCCTGGTACCACTGCACAACGATGACCTCACCATCACTAATGCTACGTTGGTACTTCCCAAGGACATCCTAAGACGGGCCCTAGAGGGTCGAAGGAGCTCGACAAGACCTCCTACGTTGAATACTGACTTGTTCATGTCGCTGAGAGCATCAACCTCTATAGCGCTGCCATCTCGTTCGAGGAACCTGCGGGGGCTCATCGAATCGCCAACAGCCAGCAATACGATGTGCTACAGCTTCCAGTCCGTCCGCTCGGCCAGGTTTTCCGTGGCATGGGCCGCCTCCGAAGCTCGACCGAACCTCTTATTAATAACGTACCTGGAGGCCCTATGGGACGCAATCAGGAATGACTGGTGCCTCACCTAGCAACTTTGGCAAGACCAGCCGGTGATGGGGTGATGGTGGCCGTAGTGAGGAACTGCAGAGTTCTGTTGATAGGATCAAAGTAGCGCAGCATCACGAGTCGTGATTTGCTCCCGAAGTGAATCCCTGAGAAAATTTCTCATCGAGCTGTTCACTCCTTGATATGAGCTCACCTGCAATGGACTTTTTTCCCAAGGTGTCGGCCACCTCTAGCTTAGGAGTGCTCTGCTCATCTGCCAGCATTATTATCATCACAGGTCTCGCGACTTGACCAGCTGAGAGGAAAAGTACCACATTTATAGTATGCGGAAATCTAACCTAGTGGATGCTCCCTGCAAGCACTGCGAGGTAAACACATACTGAGGAAGTATCCGCCAATGACTTCAACAAATCTGAAAACTCACGACTAACGCCGACTGTTGACGGGCATGGGTCACTTCAATGCTGGCATGTCCTTGGATGATGGACTCATCTCGACACGGCCGAGCTGATATACTTTAACACTGGAGGGAGGCGGGGCTCCGTTGGGGACGATAGACCGGCCTCGAACACCTTCAATGGAGGCCAAAGACTCGACCTGGAAGCGAACAGGATTTAGAAAGGTCAGAGGGCGATTGCGTACCAGAGTTCCCGAGCTGACAATAGTGTGAGTAGCGCCAGGCGGCAGTTTGGGTTTCTGGGGGTCCTCCGCGAGAGCTGCCATGACTGAGGCATGAATCAATCACAAGCTACGAGTAGTAGTAGCGTATCTTACTTTGGTCGACCACTGATGCGGGGTTCCAAGTGTACTGTCGTGAGAGTAGTTGTACCAGTGACACGTTATTCAGGCACACAACACTAACGTCTACTGTCTGTTCGGCAGACTCCCCCTGAGATATGATGGATGCCATACACTCCCATGGACTGCCCTACCTCTGGGCTGCCTTCCTCAGGGGTCTCCAGCGAACTGGGGTTAGACGAGTTGCCTATCAACACGAGCAATGCCCAAGATGCAACAGCAGCGAGCTCTTCCGACTTACTAGTGGGTGTATTGGTGGAGGCTAATAGTCTACGATGGAGATAGGGGTTCACTTCCGACAAGGAGCATGGCCTCATCACCCACTCTAAAGCCGACCGTCTAAAGGCACACACTCGATCGGACGAAAGCTTATAGGGATCCAGCGAGAGTTCGGTGTACGTATTATCCCAATACCTGATGTAAGTGAGGATGTAGGCGCTATGAGTCTTGCAGTTGCTGCGGCCCTGCTGCTGCTGCCGGCCTCCAGCCGACGACCGTCTAGTGCCAGTAGATCGGGCAGGGCGTGTATCCGCCTCCACGAAAGGGTTCTCAAACTCGGCAGGGAAGGGCCCGCCAAAGTTATCATCAACCTGCGATCAACCAAAGGTGAATGCATGCAAACCTGCAATGAACCTACCGCTGCTTCCTTGGTCACTCGAGTCACGTTTTCGTCATCAAACCGGTACCTACGATACAGCCAATGTTAACTCCACAGATACTTGCCACCTTCCCTACCATTTTTCCTCTCCACCAGGCTGGCCGAGCTCAGGCCGGACGAAGGCGTAGTAGTGACCGCCATAGACGTTACCGTTGTGGACGAGGACAGTGTGTAGGACGTATTCGCTGTCCGCTGCATTCGACGGTGGACAGTCCAGCTGACAAGGATCGATGCAATGGGAGGCTGATGCTCTCTGAAGAGAGCTTACATAAGGCGACATATCGAGGACATCCCCAAACTGGAAGTATTCATTGACTTTTTGCATGTCCATGGTGTCGACCGAGAAGCAGAACCGCTTGAGCTGCACCGTGAACACTGGTGGCATCGACAAGAGCCTCAGACCCTTCCTGGCCCGTTGCTTCCCGAACTTCTCGGCATCATACCTATCCACGTCGTGATGACAGAGGGCACGATTTAACCCATAGACGCACTTGTCATCACCGTCCATCACTTCCGGCTGTAAGTACTCCTTAAGGGAGTCCTCCAGCGAGCCCAGAGGCTCTCCAGTAAGTGACAGGACATTCAACTAGACACCGACAATGGGGTATAGTCAGCAGCAACAACGAATAAGACTACCTGTAGATCATAGAAGACCTCCTCCTTAGTACTCTTATAATCAACATCGAGGCATTCGATGTAGTTCTCCAGCCTCCCCACGAACAGCTCCCGAATGAGCTTGTCAGATTTCGACGGTTTCAGCATCTACCATATTCGAGTAGGATGTAGTAGCACTCGCATCTACTACCTCCTCGAGCTTGTCACACAGGAGTCTCGAGAGCTCTTGGGCATCCTGCTGCGTGAACAGGTCGGCAGTATCCCAACCAAAGGCCCGCACCAGGACTTCTGAGCTCACGGCCTTACTAGAATCCTCCCCACGGGAAGCAGCTCTAGAAGATCGCCCTGAGGGATGATCTCGAGGAACTCAGAGGAAGCGACCTCACCATTCATCCCATTGGAGGATTCTGATGGAGGCGAGTCGGGGGCCCTGGTGACACTCTCGAGCTTGAAAAAGACGCTTTGGAGGGCCAGCACTATTTGGAGGCCATTGGAGGCGGACCGACTGGGAGAAGAGGGCTGGGAGGCCAGCTTGCCAGAGTCGGCCGCTAGAGTTGAGCAATATCTGCACCAGTCATAGAGCCTTGAAGCTGGGAGTGGCGTCGTTCTTACACGATTCGACGGAATTGTGGTATGAGAAACAGGCTTTGTAGAAGACCATTAAGATAACATGTGGCACCGAGATTCTCGAGGCCAAGGTAGGGTACGACGGGACCATCATAATCAGGTCTATTGCCCTACACAAACCACAGTCACCATCGAGACTGCCCACAGCACGGTGCACCTGTGATTCCACGCCCAAGCGCAGGGCTTGCGCAGCGCAACGGAGGAGTATGCGGCCATGCCTATCAGCCCTGAGGAGATGAAGAACAGATGCCCTCACGAGAGTACACCGCTCAAGCCTATATTACCAACCGTCCTCCATCAACTTGTTAACACCCGTAGACGTGCGACAGTCATAAGATACTAATTTTCGCCAACCACTGAGGGGACATTCAGTGGCTTCGGAGTGGAGTACACTGGAGAGGCGACTTACGAGTCGGTGTTGGTGAAGCTGAACGGCTTTCGATCTTCGCGAAAAACGCTCGTCTCGGGATTCCTATACGATCAGCATCCCCTCATGGAAAGCAGTTCTAGATGGCCTTACTTGAAGTTGATGATGCTGATGCAGAAGTTCACACAACGCAGACACCAGCGATCCGGGAAGTACCTGAGGATGAGTGAGAGAGTAGTCGTGGTATAATCGTACTACCTCCCTGGTTCCGAATTAAGACCGCGCTTCTCAGGAGGGACAATCTCGACGAATGCCGACGGAGCGTAGTCCGACCCGTGGCGGGCGTCTTGAGTACCACAAGGGTAGACTAGGAGGCGAAAGCTGAAGGGCCTGTAGACAATAATTTCCATCTGTTCATGGTGCTGCCCACTATCACTGACTCCAACCAGTTTACGTGCAAATTCACTACGGACGAGATTTTCCCTTGAAACAATCCTGATTTTGAATTTTCTGTTGATGCGAAAAACGCTAGGCAGAAATACACCAACAGTGTCGGACGGATGAGCTACGACGTGCCCTTCTGTGTCACCATACTCAAACTAAAAGTGATGTACTGTGATCAGCTAAGAGCTCCCCTTCTAATCTCAACAGAAATAGTACCAACAACGTCTAAACGCTGTGGCCCTCCTCCTTTTCCTATTTTACTACCCTGCACTCTTCACTTCCACAGACCTCAAGGACGCCTTCGGTATCCTGTTGCTTGCCTCACACATGTCGACCCACATTTCCAACTCCTCCGCCCTAGCCGGGGGGACCTCTGGCTCAACGACGCTCTTGCCGCCTCTCGAGTCATCATCGTCATCCTCTTCAACACTGCACTCCGATGAAAAGCTGACAGCATCCTCCTCCTCCTCAGTGACCCCCCCAGGCTTAGATGTCGACTCGCGTGGTATCACATCAACTACTCTAGGGACCCTGAAAAGATTCCAATTTTGCCCAGTGGTGACACAGTGGTGTAACCCTAGTACTTGACAGGGGGCTCTCCCAGCTCGCCCAGGTCAACCATTCCATCGTTCATCCCCCGGCCCAACTGCGGCACTTCCTGGCTGCTCACCAGGACGCCTCGTTGATCCTCATCATCGTCTCGTGAGTGACCATTAGTCCTTCCTTGCAGTAGGTGTAGTTCGTCATCCCGATCGTCTACACTCCGCTTCTGTGGCGAAGACGCCGGCGGTTTCCGCTTGCCACTACCATCACCTCCCTTGTCGAGCGAGTCCCGACCTTCTCCAGCCGAGGTCATTTCACAAGGTCGGCTGAAAATCAGTGTACCCGAGGTCGGCAACCATACCATCATGACTGCACTTCACACAACACGTCAAGGTCATCACCAAACCACTCGAGCTAATTGTCCACAAAAAATCAAATCAATCACATCGATTTACCCAATAACTGTTTTCGATCGGAGGAACTACCAACACAGAAGTTCCGTGAGATCGAGTCACAAAGCTCAACAGATACTACCCAAGACCATGAACTGATACCAACTGTCTCTCCCTAATTTCGTGGTGTATACAATCGATGAGTTATCATCATCTGCCGAGCAGTGTTGATCATACTAGGAAATAAAAACCAACCTACAGCAAGATTGGCAAGTTGCCATCCCCCTATGAATACTAAACTCAACACACTCTTCCTGAAATCGTAGCAGTCTCTGAGGAAATCACTAATGATACTAAAACCCAAATTACGATCCGCCGATGTCGAGTTGCATTTTGCCGCTCCGAAAAGGTGGCGCTGGAATACTTCCTTCAGTGAAAACCCCCTCAGTAGCATGAGAGAGCGAGCCGAGTCATAGCTCAAATTCTGGTATAATAGTAGTTGCTATTAGTTCGTCGGTAAGTCCTGTCCATCGACAAAGTAGTGACCCTTCGTGAGGTATCTCTTCCGTTGCTCCTTTACCTACACCAGACCACAGCATGGGACTTGGTGAATGAATGGCAGTGAGCACAACGCCGAAACTGCCAACAGTCGAACGAGATCGTTGATCAACCACATTGCGTGATAATTCCACAGATGTTAGTACTAGCTAGTGAAATAACAGCAAAGTGCAACCTGTTCCATTATGAGTGTTTTTTGGACGAGCATACAATTTAAATTTTTTCGCGAGTCCCAGCGAGTTTTTTCCACGATTCTAACACCACCTGCAAGCGCTTTCGAATGGTATCAGAATTTCCTGAATATTCAACTTGCGCAAAAAGTCACTCAACTTTTTCACATTTTTATTGGGACACCCTGTAGTATCTTTAACGATGCTAGCATGGGCGACACCACTAGTAGTTCACCTCGCCATGTAACTCCTCGGTCCATTTCTCCATCGACTGTAACCACGTAGCCTCGCTAATCTGTAGGTCTCTGACACAATCAAGAGGTCCCAGGTTCGAATCCCACAGCAAATGTTTCATCATACCTCCGTAAACCTGTTGCCACTGCTCTGAGTCACATCTTCCACCGCTAATGCTAGCTCCATCAGAGCCATCCTAGCGTTCTCTGCCGAGCTCCCAGCTGGGAACTCCACATCTGCAAACCAACACTCATCCCTCCACTACGACGGAGCAGTACTACTCTCGAGATCCTCCAATGACATCTTGGCGAAATGCTCACAACGCTCACAAGTCGGCAATGGCCTCCACTCTACTGTCTGGTCGTCCATAGACTTCGACACCGCCCGAGCAGTGCCACCTAGCTGGGTCTGCAGCTCCTCTTGCAAACTAACTTTACCCATGGCAATCTGACACAGATATCAGTGATGGAGAAAGGGGACTCGCCGGGACACCAACCTCATAAAGATGCTTGGCGGACGCAGGACCAGTATCCTCCACCATACGAGTGAGATGGCCAACTGGATTCGAAAGCAGCTCGGCGGGACTACCAGACTCTACTATCTGAAGTGAGGAGCTTCAGCTACCACCACCACCGACTGCCACTTGCCCTAGTACCTGTCCTCGGTCCATTGCTATAATACGGTGACCATCTATAACAGTGCTAAGCCTATGAGCAATGGTGATCACAGTACACCCAGCAAAGGCCTCTCGAATGGTCAACTGCACCAAGGCGTCGGTCTGGGCATCCAGCGATGCCGTGGCCTCATCAAGGACCAGTATCTGCGAGCGTCACTCCCCTTCCCTACGACCATCCTACGACTTACCTTCGATTTCCTCAAGATGACCCTGGCTAAACAGACCAGTTGCCTCTGCCCTGCCGAGAGGTTGCCCCCTCCAGCAGCTATAGACGTGCTCAGTGGCATGTTCTGTAGATGAGCACTCGCCAAGGCCTTCGACACCTCTTCGTCACTATGTTTGCCGAAAGGGTCCACGTTAGACCGCAGAGTGCCACCAAAGATGAGGGGATCCTACAGTAGACCCTCTAACTGGGAAAAACCGCACATCCTACTCACCTGTGGAATAATACCCAATTTTGATCGCAGATCTCGAAGGCCAATCGTCGAGATGTCAATGCCATCAATGGTGATCCTGCCACTCTCTATTTCGATGATACGGAATAGAGTCAGCAACAGAGATGTCTTGCCAGCACCCGTACGGCCGATGACGCCAACCTGGAAGACCAACCATACGCACGACTAAGTACTCAAGCCACGGCTCCACAACAGAAGCACGTGGTAGCTCTCCCTCGGTCAAACCAAGGGCACTCACCTTCTCGCCACCCGCGATGGAGAAACTCACATTCCGCAGAACCGGAGCCAGATCAGAGCGATATCGAGCTGTGACCATCCTGAAATTCCACCTCTACTGAAAGACGACTTCAGCTTATTCCCACTTGTAGGTGATTTTCCCGTCCTGTGGCCAGTCCTTGGGCGTCCTATTACTCTCCACCACCGAGGCTGCTTCCGGTTCCACTTCAGAGTACCCCACGATACGTTCCACCGAGTTGAAAGCGTTCTCGGCCATTGCTATCACTCTCGTCAACATACTCAGCGCTGCAGTGATCTGAACAACGAAGGGAACTCCCCCTAACTACACCACAACATGAATCCTCACTTGCAAGGCACTGCTGATAGCCAAACCAGCGACGCCTTGATTGATAATATTGCGGGCCATGATCAGAAAGACCGCCGTTATGAGCACGAGGAAGCCACCAAAGGCCTCGAGCCGGATGGCCAACCAACGGTTACTGGACATCTGCACCACATTACAGCGAATGTGATGGTCTATCAGATAGGAATTAACGGCGTCCATGGCGTCCTGCTTGCGGAATGCCAGGATAGTCGAGATGCCTGAGAGGACACTATTCCATTCGAGCTGTCACCCGCCCTCACCATCTTGGGTCTGTTGGAAGTGGTTGTATATGGGACTTCTAGTGAGGGCATCCAACCTCTTTACTTCTCGACTAGTGCATCTATAGTAGTTCTGCACGTAATAGAAGGCCAACAACACTGGTGCAAAGGCTATGAGCGTATAGTAAGCAGACAAAGACAACAACACCATAGTTCCTATGAGTGTAAGGACAGAGTTCACCGTCATTGTCAGCGATGGAGCCAAGTTACGGTCCATGTCCTGGACATCCTTAGAGAAGCGATTCAGTATACGACCGATAGGTGTGGAGTAGAAGAAGGACATCTTCGCACGCAGCAGACAATCGTACATGCGACGATGGAGGTTCCTGGCAGCTGTGATGCCACCAATAGCCGTCATGATCTGGCCGAAGAATAGAGCGACCAGTTGGGAGAGGCAGATGACACCATATATCCCCATATAGTAGGCCACATTACGGGCAGCAGGGGACTCGGGATGAGCCGACCATTTAGACAACCACCAGGCTGCTGTAACTCTGAAGCCTTCACTAGAGGTAAACATACCAATAATGGTGATAGGCCAGGTCATAGCTTTAGCATACAACCTGACATCAGAACGGCATGAGCCTCGAAGCGACGTGATAACAGCACAGAAACTTCCTACTACAACTACCGTGCTTACTTGACAATTCTCCACTGTACAGCGCCAGTGGCTCTCTCCTCCGTTTTCACCAATGCCTTCGTCGCCTCCTTCTCCTTAGCCATCTCCTCACTACTGTCCGCTGTAGACTCAGTAGCAGAGCCACCAGAACTGCTATTGGACTTGTCGTTATTCATACTGGCATCATCTGACTTGGCCAGAGATACCAACCTCCGGAACTCAGAGCAGTTCTCAGTGAGGTCGGCAGGAGTACCAACACCAGCAAGACCACCCTTGCCATCCATAACGATAACCCAGTCGGCTGCATGCACGAACTCTACTCTATTGGTGACCAACACTCTTGTACGACCCAACATCATGCCCTGTATACCCTCTTGGAAGGCCGCTCTGAGGCAGATAGGAGACTTCATATTAACACCCTCACAGTACTAGTTCTCACTCTAGTGCTACTACAACTACTACTACCTAGCTACAGATGCATCCAAGGCACTGATGGGGTCGTCCATAAGGACCAGTTCATATTCAGAGTACATCGCTCTGGCCAAAGCCAATCGCTGCTTCTGGCCACCCGACATGTTCACACCTCTCTCGCCGATCTCAGTAGCATCACCTGAGGCAATATATAAGACCGGAGGACCGAGGGTAGTGAAAGGTCACCTGCTGGGAAGATGAGGAGGTCTCTGGCCAGCTGACTGCATTCGATGGCTTGCTTATATCGTTCCTCATCATAAGGCTCTCCAAAGAGGATGTTGTCCCTTACAGTAGCATTGTATATCCATGCTGTCTGCGGTACATAAGCCACCCCTTCTCCAGCGCTCCTATTCGCCACACTACCAGCCTGCCAATACTACCACTACTAATCTTAGTTCAACACGTGCATCCTACCAGCTTGGGCATCTGACCCATGATGGCCTGCAGGAAACTAGACTTGCCACTAGCCGAGGCTCCTATCACGATCGTGAGCTTATCTCTAGGAATAGTGACATTGATGTCCAACCTGACGGAAACAACACTCACCCGAAATGCACACACCAGCAGAGTAGCCACAGTACAGCTCAAAGGTGCGTCGAGGCTTGGGCGTCGACAAGTCCCCATGGCCATGCGCAGACACCCACGAGAATGTGGCATCTATAATAGCCTGAACTCAGTGTAATGCACAACCATAAGTGCTGCTGGGGTACTACTACCAAGTGGTCGGTCGGGGACAAATCGTCCACCTTGGATGCGGTCCTAATACGAGTGGACTCGTCCAACTCGGGGAGCTTGAGGAAACTCTCTATACGATTGATCGACACTATGCATGCCGAAATCTGGTTAAGGACGTTAGGCAGCTGCATTAGGGGGAAGCGGATGACGTTGAAAAGACTTAGCGATGTGAAGGCTTTCACCTGACACAACCAGCAACAGCAGCATACGACGACTATATAGCATAATCGCCTACCGCAGTGAGAGGAGGGTTGCCCGGTATGAGTACGTAAGCCCCAAAGGACACTACCGATACCAATACTGGTATAGCGTTGATGAGGAAGCTATTGAAGGCTCTGAAGGAAAACAAGTACATCCAACCCAAGTGGTGACACCATACTACCTGACTTCCGCATAGTCCTTCAGTTTAGATAGTTCCTTATCCCTAGCCTCCTCTGTCTTCAACTGAAAGCTGTCCTCCCAAGCATAGCACTTCACAATCTGCATCGCCTCCATCGTCTCTGACACCTAACCTCAGACATTCCCCTTTTGCCCTCACCAACACTTCCCATCCTCACCAGTCGCAGCCTCTCATCGGTGTACCCCTGAGCGGCCTTGATCTTCAAGAAGAGCCAACCAATGATCTTCTTCTGGACCGGTACCATCACTACCAACACCAATGCACCCATCACCGACGCCATGCCCAGCTCCTTATACAGCAGTATCTGTCCAATACCAGCCGTTTGCCTCCCTCACTGGTCTCCCCCCCACTGAAAACTCTACCATTGATATTGCAATCCTGAGTGGACCACTCCACGCTGTATTGCCAACATTGCATAGCATCTGCAGGGCGTCAACGTCGGAGCTGATCATGTTGGAGACCTTCCCGCTCGAAGTGTTCTGTCTTGAGGCGATCGATAGCCTACCAAAGAGAAGGGCGCTGAGTAGTCGAGACCACCAATGATACTAGTACCTCATGGACTTCCTGAAAATAGCCGACATAAGCGTAGCCCTGACCTGGCAACCGACTCTCATAGAGTGCCTATAGAGGAAGCAGGATCCTAGTCCCCGACCAGTGAATTAGCAGCGACGCTCTACCAGTGTGGGAAAATATGCACATGGTCAACTACATGTGTAAGTGACATTCGTGGAAAATTGAGGAATTTCTCATTGGTTTCTGTACACTTCTACTCGAGTCCGTATATAAACTTGTATAATTAGTGAGGAAGCTCCTGGTTTCGGCTGAGGAAAGCGATCATATATTCCAACACTGCGCCCTACTGAAAGTATTGTGCTTCCCCGAGAGCTCCAAAGACTTGTGTGAGGAACATAAGGACGGCGACAGTGAAAGCCAATTCAACATAGCCTACAACGACAATACTCAAGGAAGCACTATGGCCTATGGACTTACTCCATTCTCCCGTTACTGCAGCTTCGTAGAGCGTACTCAGCATCCAGCCCATGAGCATGGGCAGGGCAACCTGCGACCCGTCGTTGGTCGTCTTCCTGAAAACGTGTCCTTTCTTGTAAATCCCTCAGCGGCTGTCACTACCATAACGCTGCCTTCAGCATAGGAGACCACCAGATGCCCACACAGGTCTTGAAGAGATGCTGATTTCGCTTTTCCTAAGCCGATACCACACCAACTCCAAATTATGTACCTCCCCTCAACCTACGAAATCAGTCTCGAGCCGGTTGACTATGGGGTCCACACGATCATACGATGCCAATTCGGGCAAGTCCCCATCCATCAACGGCCGCTTATATCTGTCATCACATCAATGAGGTTCATACGCATGCACCCGAACGCCTACCCTAGTCGGAGCAACGGAGTCATCCACCCAAACGTGAGGTCCGATAACCAGCTCGCAGCTTCCTCGGGGTTCCTCTGCCCGCCACTCGGCTTTTCTAGAGCATACGATCAGAGTTCGACCAACTGTCAGCAACTTACCCTCGACTCCTCCTCCACTGGGCACCTCTCCAGTGTGGTCTGCGGCAGCCAGTAGGGGCGCTTCAAGATCGGTCCCTGTGAGAGGCATGACGGGCAGCAACCAAGCCTGTGGGGGGGAGCCTACCTGACTCATTGGAGGCCCTAGCGTTCGAGGGCCAGACAAAAATAGAAAACAGAAACAAAACTGTGGCTGCTGCAAACTGCAGACAGTAGAGGACGAAGAAGTAACTGTAACTTCGGAGGATCTAGGGAGGAGACGGTTGCCGTTGAATCTACCCAATTCCACTATTACATGCATGGCAAAGTACATCTTGATCACCAAAGCCGAGAAGTAGAAGACATATGCAAATCTCATCCACCCGCCCCCAGGAGGCGATCCTATCCGCCTTTCTGCGATTAACGTGATAAGAGTAAGCCCCCAGGCAAATACGCCAAGACCGCTGGAGAAAATCTGGCAAGAGAAGACGTATGCTGAGAGATGGGATGCTAGGGGGGACTTGCCTCGTAAGGAGCCAGCTTGGGTGCTTGCACCAACTCACTCTGACCTACTCGTGCATTCAGTTGACACAGCGGTATGACCATCAACACCTGAAATCGGCAGCTGTGGTAATACTATTTTTTAATCAGAAAATACGGTTACTACTACCAGTGCCATGAGCTCCTTGACTCCATGCCAGAAACGAGATCTCAGTTTCCACCGCCTCCCCTCGCCTTTCCGGAACACCTTCCACATCTTGCGTAGACGTATCAAACAAGTGATGACGAGGACGATGTGGGCCAAACCGATGAAAAACACATCCTCAAAGCAGGGGGTAAACCCTCGCAGTGCGAAGTACCTAAAGCCGTTACTGGTAGGAGCCGCTCAATACTGCGATGACTACTGATTGAGTTTTAGGCTAAAGAGCTCCTGCCACTCCCAGGGTTCGCAGAAATCACTTATAAAGGTGGTAGAAGGGGAATGCGCCGCCATAATGGGCTCGGTGAATTGATAAGGTAAAGGAATAGCACTGTAGCATTAGCGTTGTCGCTGAGTAGGACCACCACTCGGTGCCTCTCCTCTGGGGGCTACTCCCAGAAGCCACACCCGTTTTTGAGGACTACCAGTAACTCAATATGAAGCGCGGAAAGACCATTCAAACAACATGCCGGTGGGAGGACCATCTCCTTCCGTTCTATACAAGAGCAATGTGATGAGGCATGCTTGTGTGACTGCCCCTAGTAGGGCTGTGGAGTCTCCTTTCTAGTGACGCCCATCTGGATGGGCATCCCCAAAGCTGTTACTTCCCATCCTACCCCATCGCTAAGCAGCAGGCTTGCTCTCTTATCAGATCTCAACGTAACCGCGTGCATCACAGTCCCCCATCATTAGTGCTCATACGCACGACTGTATCTAAACTTTGGAGAGAGTTAGAAATTCGAGGTCTTCCGAATCTTAGTGCTCAGCCGATTGAAGTGCCAGTTGTCCCCGATTCGCCTTGTAATGGAATACGAAGTTTACTTCGGCTGCAACCTCATCGGCACCATTGCTGTGATGATGGTATTTTTCTATACCTATTGCAATGCCAAGCCCATAGGGAACAAACTGGAGTGATGAGGAGTGTCTTAATGAGCGAGGTGAGTGCAGGAGATGACTAAGGTCGCATGTATTGGAGGGCTTTAACCTGGGCAGCTTCTACGGGAGGTCTACCGCTCAGGGTGTTGAATTGGACGTGAAATTCTCATAGATGGAAGATGGGGTCGATTTCGTCTGTTTAGGTTTGACATTATTGGGACTATTTTGGTGATGAACTGGATGTGGATTCCCGTATCGGATTTGGAACTTCAGCAGCGGGAGCGCCATACCTTGTTTTTCGATGGATTAGTGTCGTGTTAGAGCTCTAGGACGGTTCGTAAGTGGAAACACCCCGTGTGACAACCTCAACCTATCGCAAGAGCTAAACAGTGACCTTGCTCCGTCGGCAGAGCGTTGTGGACAATATCGGCTATACGTCTTCGAGTTGGAGATGGAGGCGCGGCACGATTTCACTGTTGTGAGTGTACCATTGATAGCAGCTAACATCCGCAACCCGGCACACCACCATGCATCGTTTCATCATGGTCTGTTTTGAGGTTTCCTTATTTTTTATGCATTCGATGCAGACTTAACGTTATCGGTTGGAATATCTTCTATTATATCCGCGATTAGGATGCCGTTCGACGCCAAAGAAGGGAACCATTCCTATCAGGACTTCGGAATGTCACTCCTCAGAGTCGGTTTAGCCGCTACAACGTAGAGTGCACGTGATCCTACATTGCCAATTTAGGCCGAGGAAGGCAGTGATATTTACGGTTGATGTTGTTGCAATCAGAAAATATCATCGGAGATATCCAGGTTGTTCACCTGAAAATCTACGTAGCTCTCGCAGATAAACTGGACGTACCGGGATTTGAACCCGGGGCCTTCTGCATGCGAAGCAGACGTGATACCACTACACCATACGCCCTGATGAATTTGTTATGCAGGACCGGCAGTCTATAGTTAGTCAATGCGACTAGGTTCTTCAACACACTCGAACTTCATGGCCTTTGGTCGTAGTGTCTGGAGAGAGCCGACTCAAGCTTCCCTCTCTAGTAGTGACCGAGCGCTCCGGTAACGTACCCGAGTCTAGGCATTAGCTACTTCGAACTGCACGGGCACTACCAGCTGCCTCCCCGAAGAATACCAGTGAGTGGCCGACGCGATTTCTCGGAGCTCACGAGCAAATCACTCCTAAGTTTCTCGCCACGACAGCAACTTAAGAGAACGAGAGAATCTCGGTCTGCTCAAGTCCTCATATTGAGAACCTCAGTGGGCAGGGGTTCACATCATAATGAAGCACAGGCTTTGTGACGTCACGCAACCCGAGGGAAACCGGTCTATGCTATTTACCCCCGTCGGGCCCAGTGCATTCGTCGATACCACTCGCAATGTGAACCAAAGGCTTTATCCGAAACACGACAGCGAACCTCAATTTCACAACGGAGCTCATAGAGCGAGTGCGTGCGCGCTGGGAAAGGTAGAAAATGGGCCAGCTCTAAAAGCCACGTCTAGTGCCAACCGATACTGTCAGCAGCCTAAGACTGATACCTATCCTTACACACATCATGCTCTTGTGTGATGAGTAGTGCGAGGACAGTCCAAGAGCAGTAACCTTCCCACACATGAACACGCCTAACACGTGCCAGTGCTTATCAGTTACACTGTTACTCTCCATTCTCTCCCTTCCTCAGAATTATATTATATTGACAATCGACCGATCCACAAAGCAAACCAATGTCCCGGGTTCGATCCAAACAATCGACATCTCTCCAAAATTACAAATGTAAACACAAGTCCGCATTGAAGGATGGAGGGTAGTGATCGATAATACACGGAGAGAAGCAGATCTTCTTAACAGCATACCCGATTGGCGCTTCCGTTGAGACCAAAAACTGTCGTCGCATTACCCACGAGGATATTAACATGCACATTTCCTAGCGTGCTCCTCAGGCTCAGAGTTACTAGCGTTCAGCTGAATATCAACGACTGAGACGAGCGAGCAATCTCGTAGGAAGGACCGATGATAGTATTACTCTGATTCTGCCCTTGCTGACCAGCTCCTTGATCATTGGATTGAGGTAAGGCGGCAGCAAGCTTCCTGAATAGGGCCTTAATGTTGTACCCAGCCTTAGCACTGCACTCGGTAAACATAACGCCCTGCTCCTTAGCCTTCTGCTCTCCTTCTTCCGTAGAAACCTGGTGGTCACGTAGAGTAGTGATATATGGGAACTAAAATACCTGTCGTTTGTCGGCTAAATCTGTCTTGTTGCCCACAAGCATTATAATGACATCATTACCCCTCTCCGTACGGACATCGTCGATCCACTTCTCACAATTCATAAAGGATGCCCTAAAACACGTCTGTTCCTACTATTCACAAGAACCTCATCTTTTCTACTTGTTGGTGATATCGTACACCACAACAGCTACACTGCTATCCCGAATGTAGGAAGGAATAAGAGACCGGAAGCGCTCCTGGCCAGCTGAAGGGACGAACCAACGATAACCTCTACCACACCTCCGCCACATTATCCCTACCAGTATCCCAAAGCTGGAGTCTAACAGTACGGTCCTCAAGGTACATCGTCTTGCTAAGGAAGTCGATGCCAATAGTGGCCTAAAGAGAGAGAGGTATGTGAACCGTCGAGACGTGGCGCTTCTACCTGATAATTGGAGTCGAAGGTATCGTACATGAACCTAGTAATGATAGAGGTCTTCCCGACGGCCTGCTCTCCGAGGAAAACAAGCTTGTATTTGTTCAAGCCGCTGCTCATAATCAGATTTATTATAACTGGCAAAGTCCGAACTCATCGTTCTACCACTGGCGAAAGCTTATACGAGACTTGACGCTTTTTCAAACAGAAACAATTTCACTCAGGCGTAGCGCAGGTGGCGTCGTTTAGTACAACTCCACGGGATGACGGAGCACACAATGCAACTCGAGCAGTAGGGATGAGCTACTGCTCATGAATGCATCTATAGTATGCTCACCTCTACTTCTGATACCCATTCTAGCGGCTTAAACTCACGATGAATGTGAGAAAAGCTCGACTTATCCGCTGACCGTTGGTTATTGCTCGTCGTCACCATTGAGGAATTGCAAGATTCTTCAAGTGAGCAAGTTTGTCTCGTTGGTACTCGTTGTGTTTTCATCGCGTCGTTGACCCATGAGATGCGAGAAGGGAGTGAGAGCAGTTCGATAGGAAGCATCTCTGGCCGAAGACGGCAACATTCTCGCATGTCCGAGAGGATCGCCAAAGACAGGTGACGTGAATCGGGAGTCTTAAAGCCACCTCTCACTAAGGGGGGGCTTCAGTCAGTACTGTATTCGACCTGGTTACATCTTTGTTTAATTCGCCAGTACGAAACACAGGAAACTCTCTTATTCTCTCATCTGTTCAGACTAGACGACACAATGGGAGAAATGAGCACCATGAAGCCAACTCTGCCAGATCACCATCTTTCCGAAGAGATCTATGCTGAAGGTACGCGTATCAATGGGCTCTACGATGAGGCTAGACAGCTCGAGGATGCAGCCGCTAAGCGAACACGCCTTTTCAACGAGAAACTATCACGCTTAGAGGAAGAACTACGTCGAACTATTCTGGAAGCCACTGAGAACTCTAACATGTATGAGGTCCGTATTCGAACGCTTGACGAGGAAGCAGGCAATCTTAAGGCTTTGCTGAGGACCAGCGAGAGGCAGTCCTCTGACCTGGCAGGAGAAAACGCTAAACTCAAGGAGGAAATAACAGAGCTCAAGATGAAAACTGAGAGCTTCGACAGAAAGGCATCTGAGTATAGGACCGAGGTTGAATCCATGGTAGGCTTGCGGACCTAATTCGTATCTTACATCGTCCAACCTAGAGATACGTTGTGTGAAACATGTTGTGCGACATTCTCCATCGCCTATTCAATGAAGTCGTTATTTCCACAACCACACAACTACTTCTCAGATAAAACTGTCAGAGCACGACAAGGCTAGATGCAAAGATCTCGAAATGCAAATCACAGACCTGGAAGACCTCAGAGCTGGGGAGCGCTCCCGCGATCTGGCCCGGATCCGCGAACTCGAACGGGGGCTCGAAGCTGCCCAGAGGAAAGCTGATGAGCTGAAAGAACGACTGAATGAGCCGCGCTACACCGAAGGGCCGGACTTTGGGGTCCAGGCGGACCTCCCTGATGTGGAGATGGTAGGGGAATGCGAGAGGTTGAAGAGCTTGCTCCGTAGAGTCTCTGAGGGTGGTTACGCTGACGGCTCGCTTGGCGGGGTTCCGTGTAACCGCTCGGGTGTCTGTGAGTTAAGACTGCCAATTGACTGGAGTAGCCGACCTTATGCTGTTGAAGTTGAGGTCTCGGTAGACAAGGATAGATGGTCAGCAGCAGGCATGCTGCAGTTAGGAGACGGCTCAGAGAAGGGGTGCTCCCCAACTGACGGCGACGTCCCCTTGGAACTTCTCATGATCGTGGACCGCACTGGAGAGGAGGTCGTCGGGCAGTTCCTCATGAGCCTATCAGACCGCGGCCTTTTCACTATCGGTCTCGAACGGAATAATCGCGGTTGGGACCTCAGGGTGCGGTTGCGGTATGGATCTCGAGTGCCGCAGTTAGAGCGTCTCCTGAAGAATGCACAGGAGGAAAAGTCCATGCTGTTGGCTGACGTGGCCAAGGCCAGAGATCTAGAGAACGCGTTGGAGAGCGCTCGAGCTGAGCGGAGCCTTCTAGTCGGCGAGAGGGACTCAGCCAGAGAAGAGCTGCGTGCAGCGAAGACAGCGTTAGCGGCGGAGAGGGATGCCAAAAGACGCCTGGAGGAGGGCGGAGCGGAGCTTGTACCGAAAGAGCCTTCCCGCTTTGAAATTGATGTGGTGTTCGATCAGGAGGCCACGACTAAGTCCAGAGTTGAGGAGGAGCGGAGGAGGGGGGACTCCTTACAGAGAGAGGTAGAAAGGCTCAGACACAGCCAGCAGGTGAGACGTGGCTCGATATGTATCTGTACCATGTTGGTCCCAGGATCCGTATCGACGGGAATCCGGTCAGGCTGAGAGGCGCGATGGTCAATATCGAAGTCGCGTGTCGAAGAGCCTTATAGGTGGTGACGAGGTGGACGTTTTCAGGAGATCAGTGGGTATCGTGAGTACGCAGATGTGGCATCGTCACTTTAGGACACTACACATCCTGAGGTCCACCGAGGTAGAATGACCGACAACAGGCCCAACCTGCCAGCCACGGTAGGCTGTTGTCGAACTGCTTTTCAGCATCATGCGGTTCTCTGGCGTTCCCTCCGGGCCTGTGCCACTACCATAGAAATCACCACCTTGCTGCCTCAGACTAACGGATACTCGCGCAGTCCAGACCCTCACTACCCTCCTTCCCCCCTTCACATTCTACAGTCGGAGATCGACCGTCTTAGGGATGAGCTCAGTGCCTATGAGAGTGGTTGGGTAGGAAGAAGGATATTGCGGAGCAGTGTGGGAGAATATGCACATGGTCAACCACATGTGTTGGTGACAATATGAAAATTCTGAGGAAATTTTGGAAATTTCTCATTGGTTTCTGCACACTTCTACCCCAAGTCGTGTGTTAACTTCTAAGAAAACTCTTCAACTTCACTGAGGAGATATCCCAGCACTGTTTCGGAGTACCGTTCACGCTCCGCCTGGTGATAGGCTCCCGACCTAGCGGCTCTTCTGGCGTCTACCCGGGACAGGGCGACGAGGGCCGAGATGGAGGTGGCTGAGCTGCAGGCTGTAGTCGAGGGTCGCGGAGTAGGCTCGCGTCATGTTGCCCTTTGTGTCAAGAAAGGGATCTCGCAGGTATCGGGTTTGACGCCGATGTTGGATGGAGAGAGGAGGAGGGGAGATCAGGCCGAGAGAGAGGTCCTCAGGCTTAAGGAGGAGATACGTAGGAGACAGGTAGCCTCTCTAGGGTAGAGGGGAGGGGACACTCGGGCTGGTCTAGGAATATGGTCGGGATAGCGAGGCGTTGATGCGTCGAGCCGAGGCGGGCTGAGGAGGAAGTGAGGCGGTTGAGGTGGGAACTTGACAGGTGCCAGCAGGCTGAGGTACGCGGGATTCAGCACGGGATACCTCCTATGTTCCACGCTAAGTCGTTCACTCTGCTGTTCCTCTGCTCTACCCCCAAGCCCTCACCGAGCGAGAGCGTTTAGGTTAGCGATAGTGTTTATACCGAGAACGCCGAGATGGAGATTCGGCGGCTACGGGAGGAATACGTAGGAGTATCACAGCTCGATACTGGGATGGCTATTCAACGTGCTCAGGCCACTCTGATGCATCGAGAGCAGCTCAGTGCTGAGTGGACCGAGGAGGAGATCAGGCGTCTTAGAGACGAGCTGGAGGCCTTCGAACAGGGACATGTATCCTACTGTCCTTCTTATACCCATCCTCAGTAGACTTTCTGCAGAACCCCGACCTTGCCCGAATCGTCGACCAGGAGAGGGCGAGAGCAGCACGGGCAGAGGCGGAGGTGCGAAGGCTCCGCGAGGAACTTCGGAGGGTGAGAGGCATCTCGATGCCTTAGCTCACGCAACTGGTCGTCTCTTGTCCTCAGTCTGGAAGTGCTCACGTCAGCGTCGAGCTGAGAGGTGTTCCCGACCAGCCCAGGGTGAGTACATGCAGTAGACCTTATAGGTAGCGGTGACAGTGTTCTTCCGGTTCATCAGAGTCCCTCTCCCGATCTCTGGGAGCTGGAGAAGGAGCGTTGCCGTGCCCAACAGGCGGAGGCCGAGGTACGCCGTATGCATGAGGAGCTTCGCATAATAGAAGGATCGGAAGTGATCCCAGAGTCTCTCAAGAACCCCAATGACAGTATCTGTTCAGTGTCCCGACATATTCCCTGCCCTTGATGCTGAGCGGCGGCGGGCGGAGCGAGCAGAGAGGGAGGTCCTGCAGCTCATGGAGGATCTCCGAGTCGCTCAAGTAGGAACTTCTCTGCTCACCTCCCTCCTCTACCTCCCGCGCCTGTTAGTCTTGTGGGTCCTGTTCGTTGGGCCCAATCCTAGACGATGAGCGCCGACGGGCTGCGTGTGCTGAGAAAGAGGTATGTCGCCTCCAACGAGAACTCTGTGAACTACGAGTAAGGGCAACGCCTCATTCTGATTCAATTCAGTGTGTCCCTTCAGAATCTCGGTCTGAGCTCTGACCAGTCGAGTGACTTCGACATGGTCCTCCATCTACAACAACACATCCAGGTCTTACGTAATGACCTCGACAGAGCTCTGCGAGACCGTTACGAGACTTCCCGAGCCCCTCTTCCTGCCTAGGCCATGCTCATCCTTGTTAATGTACTTGATGTGTTACTGTTTGTCCAGGTGTCCTTTGAGCCCCATTTCGTGTGTATTGTGAGTCGTAAATTAGCACCGGCGGTTACTCAGGGTTGCTCTCCAACACCTAACGAACGAGAGCGGTACGAGCGGATTGTATCTGTACTCCTTATCTCATCGTCGTCATCTCATCATCATCTCAACACTATCGTCGGAAGAGACGGTACCGAACTACTTACACTAATTCATATTACTCATATTGATAAGTTGATACAAATTCACATCCCACTATCGGGGCCTCAGTTTAAGTTGCAAATAATAAACCATCAGCACTCTTCTGCTCTGGCGATAGTATCATCATGATTCCTTCGTTGGTGAGTGAATTGTACAGAGTGAACTCAATACAGCATTCGTAGCAATGAAATGTTTCAGATAGGCAGTGCTACTTCATCAGACGACTTGTCTCCGAAAGCCAAACGCTTAGCTCTTCCCCTTTTCGAATTGACCTCAATATTCCACCCTTGAATTCGCGTACTTTTCTGAGTCTTTCACTCATACTGCCCGACGCGTGTCCCGTCCGGGTTGAACCACAACAGTACACGTCTAAAATGTCGTTCTCAAGGTGAACAGGGTTATACTACAGTCGCTTGACAGCCTTCTAGAGAAGATCGCCTCGTATTGTAAGTAGCTAATCACCAAACTAGGTGAAAGGCGGCGCGTGGTACCCATGTAGGTGCCCACATCTGAGATATGGTAGGTTTGTATCGGCGTGTCACCGGCATGTGAGCACAGTGGGAGACTTACAAAGAGGGTGAACGACGAAGAACAGAATTGCAGATGGAGGTTAATGCAATAGCAGATTAGCCCCAAGCGACATGATAAAAATATTAACATACTTGTGTGAATCAACAACAAGGTCGTAGATGTACCCTCACAGTGGAAACGTAATTTTTACTCAGTGTTTGGACAACCTCTCGATCATCTCGGAGCAACTTCCCATGGTCGCTATAATACGGTCGATCGAGTCAACATCAACAGCATCGTCTAGCCTCTTCGAAAGGTAATTCATCTTCTTCTCGAGAGACTCTGGAAGGCATTCAATCACACAAACGTTCTTCCCTCGTATGCGATAAAGATGAGGCAACTCACCAGTCGCTGTTCGCCTCCATCCTGTGGACTTTTCTTCAGTTTTCACTTCAACAGAATCAGCCTTGTCAATGCACGCCGACTGCTGCAATTGCTCTTCCCTCTGCTCGACCGGACTTGTTGACTGCTGGGGAATACCGTTGTTGATCTTCGGTGCCTAAACAGAGGAGAGTACCCGAGATGGTCGGGCCTGGCTAGGTGGTACCTCATCAGTGGGCCATTCAGTATGGCAACCGACACACATCATCTTCACTCGATCAGGACTCCGCATAAGAGGGATGCAGCATTGTGGACAGGATTCACCGAGCATTGCCCAACCCTTGAGGAGGTACTCTCCAATAGCTGCTGACGTGTCGGATGGCATGATGATAGGAATCACAGTCTAAAGCATACCACAACATGGTCAACTTTCGATCGAATAGTGTAAGAACAACAGATGTGGACATCTTGAAATGCGACGGTTAATGATAATGGTATTAAAGCGAATCTCAGCAAGTGCCTCATTGAGGCGAAGTCAAGCACTCCTGTAAGCGATAATGATGATGTTGAGGAATATGAACATGGCCAAGATCAGTATGCACTTCATCACACGGCTCGATCTGAAAAACATGACATGATGACACACTGCAGCTTCATCAATACTACCGTTGTGCTCTCTCAGCCTGAGTCAACTGGACGTTGGCCTCCCTCGTTTGGTCAACCGCGTGTTCCATATTATAGTCGATACGGTCGAGCACCTATCACCATCACGTTCGCAAGGAACCCTCTCTATAGCCACTGTTGATACCGTGCCTTGGTCAATGACCAGCACCGCGAGTTCCTTGAATATTTGGTTCAACTCTATTATCGATTGAGCGATCTTGCCAATCTCCTTGGACCGCTGTGTTGCATTGACTTCCAGTGCCTGCCGAAGACCGTAGACAAGAGCAAGAGCTCAGCCGCACCACAATAAATGTCGCATTCGATGAGAGTATTAATGCCACGAATGAGTTTATAAGATACTCCCCTTGAGAAAGTCCCATTATCACCTCTAGTTCAAGGACCTGCTGATCATCGAAGCCGGCATCATCGAGGACCCCCTTCCCCCGGCTTTCCCCATCATCTTCCCAAAGATTCACATTTTGCCTCTGTCGAACCTACATCATCAACGAACGAGTGATATCGGCTAAATGCTTTGCATATGGGTATTAATAGTAGTAGTACCTCCTTCAAAAATTTCCCTTGCATGGATTTGAACTCGCCACTCAGCCCCTGCATCCGATTTGCCAATGCCCGAGCGGCGTTTTTTCTGAGTCAACAAACGAAGTGACAAAATAATCTCCTCTAGACTGCATAGGCCCGAAGAGGAATTCGCTCGAGTAATTGAGATCCTTCCCGGTACATAAACACACTTGAACACTCCCCATAAACGACTAAAACTACGACGGTTTTTTTTGTTTTTTTCTCCGACCTACCTCAGTAAGTATCGAATGAATAAGCACCACTCACAGTCCGTATTACCGGCACTCCTCCATCTTCGAATCTTCACCTGGGGTGCTCCGGACGAGATCCTTCAGTCGAATCTCGCACTTTCGAAAAAGCTGATTGACTGCTGTTGATATCGCATCCAGCTGAGAGCGCACAGAATGAAGTCGATCTGGACAATTGCCATTTCATCGAAAGTCTCCAGCTGGATGCCACATAAAACAGCAGTCCCAGACTTTAAACCATGCGTAACATATTTAACCTGTGGAAGTACTACCTCTGCATCTTGTAAAGACTCAGAGCCCGAATGATCATCGAAAACCTTGAGGAGCCTCTTCTGCTGCACACTTCGCAACTGCGATAATCGTTCCTTAATTTGAGTGAGGTAGTCACTGATCTCCGTTTGGATATCGAACCACTGACAAAGACCACTATAATGCTCAGAGGCTTTCCTTCAGACTACTTGAGGCGGCAACGTTGCCATTTCCACATCCACCACCTCATGATTAGAAACGTTGCTTCCTGTCGAAGTCAAGAGGTACCGGTTGTGATTGCTCGATTGTCTTCCAAGTCCCGAGCTTGCAACTGAACTGTAACGATAAGGAGCCCACTCTCCCTCTGATCGACGAAGTCCAAGAGCCATGCACTCGCCTTTAACTTGCCTGTGGATGTATTGGATCTCGTGGTGCTTCCTCCTGAATCTCCTAGAAGGGAATACCCTGCAAAGCGGTTCTTCCGATGCTTGTGGTCGTTGCGATACTTAACGAAGAGGACTGTCAGGTTGCGGACCGGTCCACAGTCCATCACACAGGCGTTTTCATTTACGGGCGACATCATAACTGCATTTCGGCGCTACATTAGAAATGGATACGATGAACAGCCGTGCACTTCTAGGAAGAGATATCCCTCGTTATAAATCCAGCCTGGCCCTACTCTCCACAGTTCACAGGGAAAGCTCGTGTGAAATTCAAGATCCAAGAGCAAAGGACGGACTCCAAAGAAAGACAAATCGAAGTGTCACACAGGTGAAAACTGTTATACAAGGCAACCAGATTCCTAAACTGCTATAGAAGACAACCATCGCACGTATCTTTTCCTGAAAATGAGGGCTCTCTGTTATCAACTGAGGACAGCAACGGTAAATGCTGCCGATACCGGGCATCCAATCCAGCTCTTCACTAACGTTAGGAGTTGTTCTAATTGAGGTTCCGTCAGAACAACATGACGTCCGATATGCACAACTCCGTTGACACCCCCCCCCCCCTCCCTCCCCCCCAGAGAGCTGTTCCCCATTGGACCGAATCGGGTTGCTGCCGCCTTTAAATGAAAACGCCTCGGCTCGAGAATGTTAGGTCGGAGAAGCAGGGCATCACTCTGTGGAGGTTGGTTTACCGACTGTGCCTGAGAATTCCAAACGGTCTGTGTTGCCACTAGTCTTAGACTAGTAGTGGTATCGTCTACTTCGTGGATTGGCAATTAAACATTCCGTGGCGCGCGAATGAGCCAAAGGGTGTCACGGACAAGATTTCGCTGGCGCCACGCTCTCAAGAAAAGTCTCAAGTGTTCTCGCCGTCTGATATACACATATGGTACACAAAGAAAGTCTCTTTAGAAAACTTCATAAGCATGCACCGCCCGGGAATCGAACCCGGACCATCTGCTTGGAAGGCAGATATCCTAACCATTAGACTAGCGGTGCTTACATACCTCATATCGATATTCGCACTTTGTTCACACTCCTTGAGCGGTATTCCGATACTGATTCATGGATCAAACGTAGGAACCAATTCTTATCCGTTAGCGCTCGAACGCTGATCGATGAGGCAATTTATTGGGGAAGGTTAAAGTGAGGCGCACAAGAACTATACGGAGTGCCTCCACGATTTGACCCAACTCTCCTCATCCCAAGTTATCCAGGAGGCCTATGTTGCACCGCGGGGATGCATAGCGATAAATCATTGCTAAGTAGGTGCGACAGAGGTACAACTACAGCGGTGATGTCCCAGCCAACTTGGGCGGGTCAGGAAAGATAGCCCATCGCCGACCTTATTCGATTATCACCTCTCGATATCAACGAATGGATGCTGCTTGACAGCAGCTGTGAGCAGGGCTAGTAGTCGGACCGGTCGATCGTCCCTCAACACGTTGGCTATTATTTGATGTTGCCCACCGTGTGCTAGCAACCTTAGGAAAATAGCCAACATCTTCTACCGAACCGACTGCCCATGGTAGATAACAAATCAGGCATGCTTTCTACGTAGTTGACTAGCAAGAACTGACTCTCGAATCCAGCATATTGAATAAAGAGCCGTCGATATCTGGGCCCAATAATATTTGCGACTTGAACGTTAACAATCTGGACCCTTATAGGGTACGTGCTCGTCCAGAACTATCCTGGCAGGACATCGACGGCGAAGAAATGCGCGATCGCGTGGAACGATGCTTCAACCTCCGTGCTGTTCCCGCGAATCTCCAAGTTGGACGTCGCATTCACCCTCAAGGAAAAGGTTTTTGCGTCGGTGTTGAGAAGATCCACAAACCTTTTCCGTATTTTTCGAAGAAGGCATCCAGAATAGCGAGCCGAAAAGAGTCTTCAGCTTGTAGAATAGTTCTCCAAATGGTTGTGGGATCAAATACGTCGCAACGTATAGCCACCTCTCGCACAAGCGGACAGATTCCCTGGACTAGGTCCAGCAGCGAACACTCCGGAACACAGCGGAGCACCCGCGGCTCGACAGGATACCACAGTAGGAGCAGCAGCAAGTGAATGGGTCAGTCATGTACGTCTTGTGCGCCCAACGACGCTATTGCTGCTGTGACCTGATATGTGATTCACATAATGTGAAGAACCCGCAAGTCTACCATTCCGATGCAGTGCAGAGAGCAGAATTATAGCGACACTCATTATATCTTCAGCATACTATTGAAAATCCCGGCTGAACGTATCTTCAGCGTAGAACGAATTACGACCTAATACGGCATATAAGGGACACGACGGGAATTTTGTCCACGAACTATTCCATGATCTCCCCATAGATATGCCCTACTCTATCTACTCCTCCGACTGCGATACGAATAGATACCCCACTCCTCGGAATTCGCGCTTACTTCACAAACGCAACGATTGAACGATGAAGCTGAGTGAGACACTAACATAAAGTTCATTATGCTAAGACGAATCAAGCTTAACTTAGATGCATACAATCTAAATGAGCGCCCACTCACCGTGGAGCACTCAGGATGTCCTATTCAAAGCTTGTATACACAGCGAGATACGACAAGACTTAAAGGCTTGGGCAAGGATAAGGCTTACCAACACAGTCAGAGTCGGTACTCTGGAAGCAAAGACTTCCATCGTCCTTCTCTAGGATGCCAAAGCACACAGGAGGACTCTGCCAAGACTTGCAGTACGAGCCCCACTTCGAGTTCTTGCAACTACTCAAACCGTTGCAGACATCCTCACAACTGGGAGGAACCACTGGGCAGGAGACGGGCGTGTAGACAGAATCATCACAGGAAGAATCAGCTGGTTGGAAGCAATAGCCATCACCCTTTTGCAGGAGACCAAAGCACACACCATTGCCCTTACAGTAAGATCCCCAACCGTAGCTTGCACAAGAGGGAGTCTCATCACACAACTGCTGGCAGTAATCATCAGAGCTTGCTAAAGCTAGACCAAGGAGAGTGGCCACAACCGCGAAAGATTTCATGGGAAAATGAGAACAAAGGGAAAAAATTCCAACACTGACAAGAGCGTTCAAATATCTGGAGAAACGTGTGAGAGTGAACTGGACAGATATGATAACTGGTGAGGAATCGGTGATGAACTTAGCTTAGCGAAGCGAATCATATACAGCCCACAGTACTCACACTATGGGACAATGAAGAGAATATGGAACAACCGCGATATTGCTTCACATGGACGTGATATTGGGAGCAACTAGAGAGAGATAGATCAAACTGTCGTCATAGTGGCGCATCGCTGGAGACCTCGTCATTTCGTACCTTCTGAAGGTATAGCGACACGATGGTCGTGAATCTAACTAATGCTGTGGCGATCTCGAAGCGAATCCCGAGGAAGCCCATGAACCAAGATACCCTAGGCTAATCCAAGAGGTCAGTGGACAAGCTCTGTAGTCGGCAATGAACCCCAGAGCACTCTAGATACAGCCCACCGCTTCGCAACTATGGTATGTACTGGAGAGCCTCGTGGAGATGATGAAAGTGGATGATCATTACGGTTATGACGACGAGAGGAGTCACGCTAGCTATCACGTCCAAGAAAGAACAGTACGCAGGCAGAAAAGGGTGGAGAACAGTGCCAGTATCTTCTTGGAAGAATGACAACTGTAAGAAATGCAGCTGAACCGTATCGAGAAGCCCCATCGCCCAGTGACATAACACAACACGGGCCACAAACTAGACGGTTTTGCCGTTGCTATAGCTACTAGCTTCAGGGCCACTATGAGAGAGATCCAACTTGGAGGAAATCAGCAATGACCTCACGTGCAACAGATGGGCGAAGACGATATAAATGATAGTGG